GAATATGGTCTTCATATGGAGAAGAAGTTGAAGTTAGAGGAGAATGACCGAATTCCTCAAAGTGATGTTCTCACGGCAGATGAGGTCTTACTTAGCAGCTGGACCTTGGCCGGAGGGAGTAGAGACGAAATTTGGTTTCTTGCCGCCGCGCCGTCGGCGTTGCCATACGCCCGCGGAGGAAATCGTTCATTTTGGATTTCCGTTTCGATGAGCACCGCATTAGCGGAGCTGCTCGGAGAGCTCAGACTATCGAGCCGAGTTCAAGACGGCGAGACATTGGAATCCCGGCGAATCGAGGTGCGGTCGGTTGTTGGATGAGGTCATGTCAATCCCCTACTATATTGTGGCCGCAGGGTAGGAGACGTTCCACGATAGCGACGACCACTTCAAGTTTACCTCCGTGCATCCATCAAGGGAACGGGACATTCAGATCCGTGATATCGTACATTGGCTCGCACTACATACCGTATTTATTCTAATAGAATGGCATGCTAATCTAATAGGGACCGCCCATCCGATGGGGGATCGAAAAATAGAGCGGCATGCTCCAATAGAACGGCATGCTCCAATAGACCGACGCCTGATGGGGGGATCGAAAAATAGAACGGCATGCTCCAATAGAACGGCATGCTCCAATAGACCGACGCCTGATGGGGGGATCGAAAAATAGAACGGCATGCCACTCTATTAGGATATACAGTAAGACCTCGCTTATCGCGACCTCATTCATCGCGACCTCGCTATATCGCGTTTTTCTTTCCCGAGCATAAAATTATGGAAAACGAAGGATTGCCGCGCATACTGCGAGCAATGCCTGGCGTAGTCGTCAGAATGCACGGAGAGGTGCTGCGCAGGTTCCCGAGAGATTGATGCGAGCTCTGAAAGTGGAGACGGCATCTCAGAACTCGGTGCACGCAGACGTCCTCAGTTGGCGGGAATGATAGAGTTGGACTGATAGAAGGAGCCCTAATTTATACGTAGTCTATGACGCGTACAGTCTCAAGAATTGTGCATTGTGACATAGTAGCTTACCACAGAGACTGGTTATTCATGGAGTAAAGGATAGCTCTTCGAACAATAATTGTCCTCTATTAGCTGAGAGCGTCGGAGCTCCAAGTCGGAATACCACTCCCCAGAATTACCAAATCCTTCTTCGCGGATTCCCACTTATCGCGGAAGCCTCCGGAACCGATTGACCGCGAGAAGCGAGGTCTTACTGTATACGGTATATCATGATCCCATTGCTAATCTTTCTGAATTTGCGGAGGGAGCTCCCTAGAGCCTACCAGGGCTTTCCGATTATTTTCTCGATCAGAAGTCCGATAGATCTCCCTCCCTTTCGTCTGAGGATGGTCTGGTAAAGCGAGGAAATCCTGGTAAATGATGGCAGTTCAGTCTCGTCGCCGCTTCCCAACAACTCGTCGCTCTGAGAGAATATCTGGAGTTCGGATTCGGGGCGCTTCTCAGCCGTAAGTCGCTCCATGGATGAAGCCGCGGTTCTACTTGCGCCACCAGCCTTGCCATGCTCGTGATGTCCCGCGATGCGCGGTTCGCGAGGCATTCTCGGGCATGATTATTCGTTTTCAGTTCCGAGCGGTGATTCTCGCCGCCATCGCGCTGAGCCTCCCGCCCGCGGAATGAGTTCCGAGTCGAAATTCCAAGTGGAGAGGTGTCTGCGCAAAAACGCGCATATTTATCCGAGCGTGTTTTGGTCGAAGGTTTCCTTTTTGAGTAGCACCGCTGTCGCGACTAGCTGCTCCTGTCAGGATGAGATCAACTAAATTGTTGAAAGTCTCTTCAGGTTTTGGTTTCGGAAGGCGAAGTGTCTTATCCAAGCCCAGTCAGGGGGTAACTTATTGATCAGAGTGATACATTGTATCGGCTCTTTGATGTCAGCTTGAAACTCATCGAGCGCGTATTTTAATCTCTTGAACGCTGTGATGTTCTCCTGAATGCTCCTGTCCTTCCTGTACTGCCATGAGAGGAAATTGGTGACTTCTACGAGTTGTTGACTTTCTGTAGCTGCTCCGTAGGTTTTCTTGAGTTTATTCCAGATAGATGCAGCCGAAGTATACTTCAGATTCTCATAAAACAGATCGAGAAGGATGTTACCATGGATCGAGTTGATGAGTACATACTTGGCTGCCAGGTTTCCTCTGTTGTACAGTTCTTGTTTTTTTCGGCTTCAGGGGTCATACCTTCGTCACCGACTATTTTACCGTCTACGACTTCCCACGCGTGCGGTATAAGCTTCAATGTAATCAAGAGCAGAGATTTCCATGATAGATAGCTCGAGACTTCTTCGTTGAGTATCACCGAGCTTGTTTTGCCGCGGATGACGCTGAGGTTCGGTGGCACGGACTCGTCGCTGGGATCTGGCTTGGCATCACCTCCTCCAGGAGTGACTCCACCGGCAGGAGTAGTTCCTCCTCCGGATGATCCTCCTGCAGCGATCGCTCCACCGCTCGGAATTACACATCGATCAGCATTCATATTGGATGGACGAATCAGAAAATCTTCTCTGGATCTTTGCGTTCTCGACTCCCGACTCATTCCGCTACTCACTGTTTTTCGATGGATCAAACGATCAGAAAGCTCGGTCGTTACGGGCTATGAAGACATCCAGTAACGGCCTTCATACGTTGAGCTCTTCCGCACTCGAGCCAAGCGCCAGAGACAAGGCCGATTTTCGGACCCTCGACTTTCTGTCCATCGGTATCCATGCTTCTCGTACGTGAGTCGAGGTATCCGTATCGATTCGTTTCCGAGCGAGGAAAACTTTTATCCGGAATATTTTGCCGTTCATTTCTTCGGTGCGTCTCGGTGAATTCGTCGGCGAATCGGAAGTTGAGGAGGCCGAACGCAATCAATTCCTTCTTCTTTAAAAGCGGTCTTGTTCTCCCTGCGTGGGGGGAAAAGCATCGACTGGCGACGATGAAGTCTTCATCGGGGAATGGTGGCCATGTGAGAGCAACCAAGCATTGAGCATTTCATCGAGATAGGGACGAGAGCTCTGACAATTCGGATAAATTTCGTCAAGAGCGGGGATGAAGAGCATTCGGAAACCCTGAGTGAGCCGAATGTTCTGACTGAGATAGCTTCCAATACATGGATCTGACCGGAGACACTAATATGTACTCCCTAAACTTAGACCACCAAACGAAAATCCAGGTATTGATTCCGCGTCACAGAAGTGAAACATTGACGGCGCTGAGAAAGCCGAAATAGAGGTCTTCTCGGATGCAAGCTCTCGTCTTGACGAGAAAAACTCCCAAAGTGAGTCGCAAATAGTCTACGCATGGATCACGATTGAGAACCTTCCTTGTCCACGCTAGATTCCAAAGTGGGAGGGCTGCCGCACCTCGCCTCGCGCGCTCCTGAGCTCCGCATAGAAACTGTTGACCATCTAAATAGATCTCGCTTGATCGCAGTGGATCGCGGCTTCGTACGGACGCCCGTCCCCTCCCCTCCTACATCCCGCGGTTACGTCGTCGCCCGTATGGAGGAACGATATTTTTGCGAATGATTTCATTCTTTTTTTTGTGTTCACGGACGCGACGTCTATGTTCATCGTGCGAGGAGAGGAATGATCGTCCACATTACCCCCTTGTCCTGGGCCTACTGAAGCTTCAAAGCAGCGTCCAGCGATTGTGCTCCGTATCGTCGATCGTTCCGATATCAGTGCCTGAAGGATGAGGGGTGATCACGAGTGATCGGGAGGGAGGACGACATCGTACCGAATACTGCAAGTCCAACAATCGCTACCGAAAATGATTACAACATGAATAGAATATTCACATGCTGCGAAAGAATTCTCCTCTGATGAGAGGCTACGAAAGCGTCTCAGTACACCGTGAACTCCTGTTCCGGTAGCGGTCCGTGCAAAAACACCCATCGGAATGGACTCCTGATGGAGAAATTCTTCGGGCTTAAATACGTCACCTCCTCTCATTGCACAAGTTCATCGATGAATTCGCTCGGCTTTCGAAAACTCGCAATCCACTGAGCACAAGAGAAGAATTTCTCCTGGCCGTGATCGAGTCGAACCCGATTTCGCGAAGGGTGGAGCGATGAAGAAAAATGATGATGATCTCGTCGTGAGTCGTGAGCTTTCGCACCCGCGCCCGAGAAGCGTTCAGGATATCGTAACTGATTTTCTCGCGAACTCCAGATTCGTTCAAACAACTCTCTCGTCGAGCATCTTTAGGTTTGCTCATCAGTTGTGAAAACGTGTGACGAATACAAAAGCATGCTCTCGGTTGTCGGTACCAGCCCTTGAAGGCGTTTTGAAGTGAGCAGGATGCTCAGTCTCGCTGTTTCTGCGGCCTCCTCTGAATGGACTGCCCCAGAGCAGGCAGATCTATTACAAGGTCCGACACGCGTGTCTCTCGTCATATCCAGGAGGAGGCGTACCCGTAGAATCCGCGATCCTCGAACTTCGAGAGGATTAGACTAGGCTCGCTTAGTGGACGAGATCTGTGAGCGCCTGTCATTAGCCCTGATAAGCTTGATTCATTCCATTTCGAGGCGAACCAAATCTTCGCTTAGCACCCCAACGAAGTTTCCCGGTATGAGCGAACGAGAGCCCCGCTCGAGAGAGGAACTTCTGGCATTATTCCAGGTCTACGGCGGCGGGCCTTCTCATCGAACAGCGAGGCCCGAGCTCTCGCCGATCGCCTTGACCTTCGTCTCCCGGGATTCGCACCCATCCCACCATGGGATTCCGATCCCAGGCTCGGTGTTCCCTCCCGCTTCCGCTTCAATGGAGGAGGTACTGCCGTCATTCCGGAAGCTCGCTATATCGGAACGTAGAGACTGTGAGCAGCCTTCGCGGAAACGACGAGCGGGCACGTGCGTACCTGATCGACAATGCTCTTAGACTCGGTGCTCATTCCTGGAGAAGTTTGTCTGCTGGTTTCAACCAAGGAGTCCCTCTCCCTTTCCTGTGTATAAACATCCTCTTTCCTGCTCTTCCATTCCCTGGGACATCTGTTGGTCGTCGTTCAGGAGCAGACGGACGAGGATCCTGGGCATCTTCCCCTCGAACATGAATTTCCCTCACATCTTTAAAGTCATCTCAGTTCTGTCAATGCTAAGCATCGTTTGTGGTACGCTCCCCGATTATTCCTTTCAAGTTTCGATAGGATAGGCGAAAGTAGAGCACTCGCACAGGGGACCGATTCCGCGGTGGGGGACCGAACTTTACCGTCAGCCATGCTTCGATGCGCGTGCACTTTTGCACCTGTGAAGCTCAGAAATCATGCGTATTTTCCCCGTGCATTCCCGAGTCCGTGCCATCGGCTCCACGAGTGGGCCGCGCAGGAGTGCCGTGCGGCGCGGAGCACTCCTCCCGCAGTCAGTGGCCATCCCGTGCGTGCGCTCCTCCTCGGCGGGACCCATTCGAACGCTCCGTAATCGGTGGCTCGTGGAGGATTATGCATAATAGTGAAGCATGCATGAGCACGCTCTGGTCGAATTAACTCTGCCTTCTCGTTCAATCGATTTTCTCCTAAAATGGTTGTCCTCGGTTGCAGAAGCCACTTCGGCCGGACGCAAGGTCGAACCGCTGTTCCCAACCCTGAAGAACATAACCTGCTTCCAATGTCATTCAGAAAGAGACGGGCCCATGTGCTACAATGAGTCACAGTTCTCGGCCAACGAGTCGATGGTCTGTCAACAAAGTATAGTCAAAGGAGGAGGGTGCGCGGTGAGTGAGAGGATCACGGACGGAGATTGACGATTGGGTCTGATTCCAGGAGCAATTATCAGTTTTGGTCGAGCCATGAATCTTTGCGCTGAGCCGAAGCGCAGGTTTACATATGTGTGTTAGAGATCTTGAGCTCTAGACCATTTCGGCATTTCAGGTGTTCAGATTCGACACATCGGAACAAGCGACAGGAGTCCGGAGGCATTCGATAGAACGTAAATGCGTCGATAGATGCAAGCCCGATTGTGTGGTCGTCGGTGAACGCCACAAATTGCATCTATGCACATCCTGTTGCAACACAACGCTATGTAATGTCGGAGATGGGGGACCACCGATCACCATGACCTCGCCCTTTGTTATTTTTGGATTCACTGGTGTGTCATTGGCGTATCGAAATCATTGGACGGTAATCTAAGCCGAGACGAGATGAAGTTGGAGTAGAATCGCAATACAGTGGGGTCCCGGCTAACGAACGGGCTCGGTTCCGTGGAAAGATTCGTGTACCGAGAAGTTCGTTGAGCGGAGCCACAATTGGAAATGGTCTCGATGGGAAACTAGGCATCTACATTGCATCGTGCATCTCGGTCGACGCGCTAGCAGAAAAAAACAGGGAATTCGGGAGTCCCGAGACCTGTGAGATCCGCTTCGATTCTCTCCTGAAACTTGGGAAAGTTTGTTAAGCGGATCAGAATGGTTCGTGATGCGGGTCAATGGTGTAGATTCGGAAGGTTCATTATCCGGAACGTTCGTTCCCCGAGCCGGGACCCCACTGTACAATTCTGCAACTACGTCGTGTGCTCTAGGGATTGGGATGTTATTCGGAATCGATGCTCTATTCCGATATTCGCTGTTGGTTCATCGCATTCATTGACCTCCAAGCAGGAGAGATGCTCTCAATCGTTCATGTACGTGTATGTAAAGAAGAAAATACTTTCAAATGTTTGTTGTTCTGAAAGGTGAAAACTCGTCTTCTCTCTTTCCCCTCAGTCCGATAATCGGTCTTCGTCGAGAACCGGGTCATTTTATTTACATTTGTACAGAAACGCGCCGAACAAACTTCCCGATATCTCTCTCCGTCTTCTGGAGCTCATTGCTTCACATGAGACCGGATGGAGTCTCGTATCGGCCTCCCATTCGAGACCGATGAGAACTGTGAGCAATCCTCCATAGCCCAATTGCTCGACAGCTCTCATGCCGATATCCTCCGTCGGCGAATACCAAGTCGAGAAGGGATAGCTCCGAGGGAAATGTTTGATGAATAACATTCGTGCTCGCCTCTCGCGTCAGGAAAAGTCGATGAAAGAGATTGTGCGAGTCTTCTCATGCTTCATCGTACGTCAAAACTTCGGGATTGGGATACTGTTTTTTGGTTATCACCCCTTTGCCGAACTTGTACTCCAGGAAGCCGGTGACGTTATTCGGAGCAGAAGCGTGGACGCCGGCAAACGGTATGCGAGTCAGCGGCTTCAGGTAAGATTCTGGGAATTCCCTATCTTGGCGGTGCGTCTCAAACCAAGTGTCTTTCGTCATCGTCCCTCCCTTGGATCTGAACGGGAAAATATCGACATGGAGTCTATTCTTTGCTGAGAATTGTACCCTGTAGAAACTTCCCTCCGTCGCCTTCTCCCAGATGAAACCCTGCGGGTCCACAGGTCGTTTATTTTCTTTTGCGAGTTTCAGCCACGGACAGCGGGGAAGGTCCTCCTCGTAGATTCCTGCAGGGGAAACGAGCATTACAATTAGAGCTCCTGATTGGAGATGCGATGATAATCCGCTGCTCCTGCAGTGATAAGTCGATTTTCGAGTCCGAATCCTCGAATGTGACTCGAGAAGCTTCCCGAAACCAGAATTAAGGCAAACGAACAGTGTGGAGCATTTGGGATCTAGGTACTTGGCTTCAGCTCTCACCGATATCCACATCGTAGTCCCACGGGATGATATCGCCTGCCCTCGCGGCCCCGAGGAGCGATCCCCCCTCGAGCCAGTACCTGACTTGGAATTCCTCCAGAACCTTGAAGGTGTGACGAGCGGTCACTCGGAGATTTTCTAAACAACACGGCGGTGTCCAGCGTTTCTACAAAGAGCATAATGATATGCTGTTGAGACTCATGAAATCCCTCCGGACCATCTGGGGGCACAATGAGCGAGGTCGATATATCCACAGACCTTGAATAAGTAATCTGGAGTCTCGTTGATCACAGTCCCGAAACATCGCTCGCTATTCTTGTGGCATCCGTACCACTCGACGATTTTATCTTCACGGGTCACTTTTTTGACGCCGAACTTCTGATATAACATTTGCTTGTGGAACGAGTAGTACCGAACTTTCTTCTCTCGTAAATGTTCATTCCCGAAGAGCCGCTTCAGAGGCTTGCTCAGGTGAACGTCTTGAATGATTCGGGTTTTTATTCCGCGCAGTGTCGTTTGGATGTATAGAGAGTCCGGCAGAGGTCTCTCCAACGCGAAGGGGAGGCTGAGGAGCAATTTTGACGGTAGGAGGACGGCATGTTCTCCCGAGATTGCATCACACAAGGAAGACGATTTAGGAAGCGTCTTATAGGAGAGACTCCATAGGCGGGGTTCCACCCTTAGCTGCAAACAATCCACGTCCCCCACAGGGACGGCTACCAGCTGGTCCGGATTATTGATGAGGAACTTCACCATCTCAGTGAGAATGACCGGCTGAGTGAGCCGGACGTTGTCCGGAGCGAGGAGCACGAACTGGTTCCGAATGTAATCGGCTAGAGAATTGTTGGAAAAATCCGAGATGTATTTCTGAAGTCGAACGCTCTCCACCGTTTGGGGTATTTGCTGTAGGGGCGGGTAGAGAGCGTCGTCCGAAACGACAAGGATCCGCATCCTCGAGAAAACCGAATTGAACGACAAGAGTGTTTCCTCTAAATCGTGTTCGTAGGGTTCGAACTCTCGAAAAATCGCCGTAACCATATTATTCGGAAGGTCGAAAGCTCTTTCGAACAGCCGAGCCTTGTTCACTTTCGCCGGGGGTTCGGGCACGTCCAGTGGAGCATCAGCGGTGCAACGTCGTTCCAGCGAAAAGAACATCACAATTATCGCGAAGAAATTCATGAAGATCAGCAGGAGCAACAAATTACGCCACGAATACCGCTGCGCTGCGTGCAGCAGACTCATGACCAGCTGTTCGAAGTGCATTTCTGGAACACCCGACTCGACTGCGAGCGCACTAAGCCACTGGAACGTCCAGACGTCCCCGGAAGGAGTCTGACAGATCTTCCACCACCATCGCGGCGTTCGGAGCTCACGAAACGCGAAGCTGGACGGATTTCCGATGAGAGGGATACCCCATGGAGCTCGGTTTGTTTTCGAGGCGGTCTCTCCGCGAGGAGTCTCCTCCACAACCGGTCCGTCTGCGACTGCTCGGATGAGGGAGCCCGGTCGGAGCTCGAGGGACACCGCTCTGCAGCCGCGGGTCGCATTTCCGGCACCGAAAACACACTTCGGTCTCTCCTCTCGGGCGAAATCGGGGGAGTCGCGAACGCTCGAACAATATCTGTGGCCAAGCTCTTCGTGCACCGTCCGAAACGGTTTCGTGGAGGATTGGGTTCGAATTTTCGCGCCGCGCTCGCAGCGCCCTCAATGATCAGCCTCGAAGCCGGAGCACGTGTTGCGTTTCGGCTGTTCTTGTTTGAGACACAGCGCTGCGAGCTGCGTGGGCTAGTGTTGAGCGCGCGCTGGGTCATTGAGTGTTCGTTTTTCCGTTAAATTGCGTGTCACGGAATCTCCGTGAAGTAATGGGTTTCCCCCGAGGAGGAGGTGGCGGTGGACGAGGTAAGCAATCGGTTCCAGACTGGGACGCGTCCCGTCGATGTTCATTCGCGCTGCAGGCGCCCGGGAAACTTCAGCACTCATGCGATAGCCGGTATTCTTGCCGTTTCGGAATTTGAACTCCGACTAACTGTAGCACCGTCGTTGTTGGGTCCGTCCGTGTCTGGCTGCATCTCGGAATGGGAGGATTGTCGTGCTTTTTTGACTCGGAAATTCCATAGTGAACACACGAGGCCTCTTGGACCTGGCAGCGCGGTGGGGCGACCGGCGACCAACACGTGGGTACACTCGACGCGTAGAGTAGCCGAAGCCTGAAAGCGTGCATCTGGGAGTCGTCACCCAATTACTCCTGACTATCTTGAGTTATTACCGCTCGTCACCGTCGGATGATGCGGTTCAAAATTTGCTTTCATGCAGAACTCGATAAACGAAGAGCGTCAATTGTGTAATGCGTGAGAACCACTGAGCTCGAAACCAAAACAAAAGCATCCTAAGAGCAATTCTATGAGGATCAATAAATTTTGTTGAGATACAGATCAAGCCTCCCTGATCTTCCTTGGATGCTGCTCCTTTGATTGATCGATACTCCGCAAGGGTGATTGTGTCCTCGCGAGAAACTACATACTTTCGGCTTCGGGGTCTTCCATCCGGGGTTGCTCTTAATACAATCGGAATTTTCCCTTCCAGGCGGCGGTGGGGGAGGTTTTAGGGGCGGTCGAGGTGGAGGCGGCGACCGAGGTGGCGGTCGCGGTGGATTCGGCGGACGAGGTGGAGGTGGTGGACGAGGTGGCTTCGGTGGTCGCGGCGGAGGCCGAGGTGGTGGTGGCGGCGACCGGGGCGGTGGTCGTGGCGGATTTGGGGGTCGCGGCGGAGGTTTCGGAGGCCGCGGCGGCCCGGGAGGCCGTGGTGGGTTCGGCGGACGCGGTGGACGTGGAGGTGCGGCGGGAGGACGGGGAGGCTTCAAAGGTGGAAAGAAGGTCATCGTCGAGCCCCATCGTCACGCAGGAGTTTTCATCGCTCGCGGTAAAGAGGACGTCTTGGTGACCAAAAACATCGTTCCGGGAGAATCGGTGTACAACGAGAAACGCATCAGTGTCGAAGACGGTGAACAGAAGATTGAATACCGTGTCTGGAATCCGTTCCGATCGAAGTTGGCCGCCGCGATTCTCGGAGGCGTCGACAAGATCCACATGCCGCCCGGCTCCAAAGTTCTCTACCTCGGAGCAGCGTCGGGAACAACAGTTTCCCACGTTGCGGACGTCGTCGGTCCCGAAGGACTCGTGTACGCCGTCGAGTTCTCCCACAGATCAGGACGAGATCTCATCGGTAAGCTCCGATCCGAAACTCTTAATGTTCACATCCAGCCTTGAGCGGATCTCAGAACGGGGTTCTAACCATCCTCTTTATCCGATGCAGGTGTTGCACAGAAACGAACCAACGTAATCCCCATCATCGAGGACGCTCGTCACCCCCATAAATACCGGATGCTTGTCGGAATGGTCGACTGCATTTTCGCCGACGTCGCCCAGCCCGACCAGGCCCGTATCGTGGCGATCAACGCCCACAACTTCCTCAAGAACGGGGGACACTTTGTTATTTCTATTAAGGCTAACTGCATCGATTCTACAGCTGAGCCAGAAGCTGTATTCGCAGGGGAAGTGGAGAAGCTTAAGAGCGAAAAATTCAAACCTCAGGAACAGATCACTCTCGAACCCTACGAGAGAGACCACGCAGTGGTAGTCGGAACCTACCGACCACCTTCGAAGAACTAACTTGTAAAAACGAGTTTTCCATTGAAGGCAATCCTGTACAAATAAATACATTTATTTCCAACTTGAACAACCTCTCCATTTCTCTCATTCAGTGCGATTCAAGTGTATTCGTATGTAGAGTTTGAGAAGAATACTTCATTTATATCGCGCCTGGGGCCTCTAACACTCTACACGGAGCTTCGAGCATCCGATCGAAGGCTGCATGGCGACCAAGCTCACGCATCTCTATAAGGTACTGGAAATGTCTATCTTGTTTAAAAATATTTATTCCATGCTGGCGAGTTCATTCTGTCTTGAAGTCTATATGAAGGATTCCTTTCACGATGGCATAGGAGAACATCACGCTGGCTGCGAAAGATAGCGATAGGACGACTCCGACCCACTCGGGTCTCGTTCTACCGGCAGCTCTCCTCCGAACCTCGGACGCGACGAACTGAAATTCGGAGGGAGGTTCATAATCGATATGGGCCCGTTGGAAGAAAAACTCGAGCCGGACGGTCGAGACGGACAGGAGCATCTCTTCGGATTAGCGGGAAAAGTCCCGGTCCTACTTTCGTCGAATGCACTGCCTTCGATCAGGAAATTCATGCCGATATGAAAACTCACCCTATTATGGATCCGACTCTCGAATTCCACTAGATTTGAAAATGTATTGAGGTGTCCATTGAGGCTAGCATTGGGCAGCGGCGTCTTCACTATCAAGGACAAATATGCGAAAACGTAAGCATCGAAAGAAGTTGGCTTACTGCCGAAAAAATATGAAGATTTCCCTGGAATTAAACGAATATACCGTGAGAAGTGTCATCTCGCTTGTGGGTATGAAGCGCGCTCAGAGATTTTCGATTTGATCTGCCATGAATTGAGGTCTGATGAACCTCTAGAGAACCCACCCAATCGCTCAGACAATGCCGTCATGCACTCCCTGGCTTTTCTATTTAATTTTGTCTCCATTTCATTAGGCGTTGCGCACTCTCCGAATCGTCCCCACGCTTCGAGCAATGCCGCTCTCTGCAATCGCCCAGGCATCGAATAATTCGACGGGAAAGTGTATATTTTCGCGAAAGTTGGTCGGATCACCTCGCAGTAGTTGCGCTCATCGCACCTGGAAATTGAGGAGGGATAATGAAAAATTGGCGAGAAGCTCGTGTGTGGAAGAGCGGGAATTCTCCTTGCCCGGCAGGCTCCGCGGTACGAATCATTCTTCTCCCTGTAATTATTTTCTGATGATGGATTCCGAGCAGCAATCGAACTCACCACATGGCATACTTCAGGGCGGGGGCTATTTTGTACTTGATCATATTCTTGTAGGCGAGAATATCCGCTCGCTCTTTCTGAGTCAAGTTGCAGTCGGCGTCCAAGTTTTCGCTTTTCAAATACGAGATTATCGACGATGCTCCGACGACACTTTTCCCCGAGGAGCTGACCCAAAGCCACGGAGACATGTCCGACGAGAAGACGTACTTCCTCACATGAATCTTCTGTACGGCTTGGACGATCTTCGAGTAGACCAAGGCCTCCAAGCATTCAATACTCACAGATCCCAAGCCCCATTCTCCTCTCCAGATAGACAGCTCCATTCTGGAACTAAGAGAGTCCTGCTTCCCAGTCTGCTCGACAACTTCGTCGAAAGCTCCGACGCTTACGGAGCTAATTCCACGATGGGGTGTCGACAGGTGAAATAAGGCGAGTGCCGAAATTTTCGTCGACTTCGCTCAATCTGTCAGTCGGCGGAGCGATTATTTCAAGGACAGGGGTTCCGGCAGGTCGACAGTTAATATGTGATGATAATTCATGATAATCCCCCCATTTTCCCGGGGAACAACCCGGAACGCGATGGTACTTACTTAGAGGCACTCCACGCTACGCACACACGAAGTTCACGATTCACTAGGCGCGGTGAAGTCTCATCCGTCAGCAAGCTCAATCAAACGGGAGAACTCCTACTTACGCGGGGATTTGAAAAACGGAACAAACAAGGGAGCTTCAGTCTCGTCGACTTGAGGTCCTCAGCATTCGCTCCTTGCGCGATCAGCTGGTTTCATCCTGAAGTCCTTCTCGTTGAGCGGAGATATGGAACACGCTGCCGTTTGTGCTTCTCTCTCTCCACTTATCCTTGCCACTCCAAGAAGCAGACAACCGTCGTCTGCTTCGCGGTCTCTCTCTTCTCGGACACAGTAGTTACACCTCCTATCATTGAACAAGGGAATGGCGCCTTATTTTAGAAAGCCGAAATAGGTCTTCGTGCGGGTCATCGCAGTCTTATGGGATGAGGAAACTCCAAGAATCTCCTCTCGCGTTCATTTGAGACGCCAATTATGGATGAAATTTTCCTCGACATCACGCATGCGCACCATTGCCCGGACCCAATGCGAATAATACTTGCACGGGACTGTTGCGAGCAATATCCCCGGGGAGCCACCTCGTTTATCGGAATAATATGAGCCCTGAGTTCAGTATGGGCATCCCGAGAGTTCGAGGGAGTGCCGCGAGATGTGCTCAATAGGCGGACGAAAGGAAACACGAACACGATGCGGGACAGTGAGGCTTCCTGTAATCAAGTCATGGGAGACGCACCCAGTGAGCTCACGCCAAATATCGCTTGTTCGAGTCTCTAATAAATCGCCGTAACCACGGAAGCCACATCGAGACGGATCACCTCAGCCGCGAAACCTCAGCCGACCAGAAAAGGCTCATCCGACACGGATGTTGCGACCCATGAGGAATGCAGTCGAAGATCCATCGGTGTTTTGGTCCCTCCGATGACCCATAGGCCCATAGGATAGAACCGGCATCGATCCATCTTCCCGCGGGGAAGTCAAATGACTCCGGCCGAGAGTCAATACGGATCACTCACGCGATGTTTCTAAAATTTCCAAGATCTTCTCCGTGCGGTTCCGACGGATGAAAAGCTTCCCGTTCAATTATCAGAAGTGGCGGCCGCTGCCAATATCGGTCCGAAAACGAAGCCCGCTCGGAGGAAATATGGCGAGCTTCGTGAAACCACTCCGAAAAATCAGAAAGAAAAAAACATTGAGAACCGTGAAAGATCAGGTCCCTCTTCGGGCACCGAAAGGGAATGCTGACTTGACGAAAACGCCATCTGACTTTGACGAGATGATTAGAAAAACAACCGTGCGGATTGGACTTGCGCGAGAAACCGAACTGGACAACCAGTGCCCAACAATAGATTATTCCACTTTGACCGACACGTCCGTATCGCCATTCTATGGGAAGACTTCTCTGCCGCTGTCTGAACTCCTCGCCGGCAAGCGAGCGAAGGACGATCGATCACCAACCAAGAATTGCGACGCGGATTCCTCGCCAGGACGGAATAAACTATCCCTGAAGACACGGGGATCGGATCATGGCCACGGGAAGTTGAGGGTCAGTTGTCCGATTCCCAATACGAAATGTCTCCTGATCTACCGCTTTATTCTAGAGTATCAGAGAATTAGTCTTCCCAGGTCGACGGCAAGGTTGAGCTCCTTTCTGGCGGGACATTGTGCCCGAAGGTGTCGCTGGGTTTTTGCGTTTTCGGGTCCTGTATGTTGGCATTGGCGATAAATGTCGCAGTGATTGCGCTCGTGTTCTTCGCCTGTAGAAAATCTCTGTGCATTTCTCACGAGAATGACGACAGATTTACTCCCGAACCGAACCGCATAATAATAATTCTCGCCGATAATCACACTTGCCGATGGTTTATCAGGGACGGCCTCCCGGAGATAGAGATCTCACACGGAAGTTGGGTTTCGGTCCTCTGGTCCTGACCGAACGCTTCGATACAACGTCGTCTGTTCTCAGGCTCTATGCTGGAGCCGAATCGCCTAATTCGTAAACAATTTCTCCCTTGCATCGGAAGGCGAGGATTCAGTTTTCCGTAGTATGACTGGACGGGCCGAAATTCTCTCTGGCGACGCCGACTGAGGAAGCAGCATGTTGACGAGAAGCGCAAGAGACCCCGTCGTAAGTCAACCTGTAGGCCTACAAATGCGATGAATTTGCCGAAGCTTCTCTTTCAAACGGCAGACTTGTTGCCAAGAGAGTGATCTCGTAGACGGCGTCACTCCGTCTCGCAGCGACTGTCTGCGGTGCCGCCTTCGGTACCCAAAGCTAAAACATACTCGTACAGTCGACCTTGAAGACGGGCTTTTTGGACTCCATTTATCGCACGGCAGCCAAGTTTCCGGCTCCGTAATGAACGTCGTTTTCGTGAGCGCGATCATGAATGAACGGATGGCTGAATTAATGATCGAGACTGTTGCGCATTGTTGCCGTCCCAAAGCTTGCCATTGCGCTTCGAGACTGTCCCAAGGTCGCCTCTGACATAAATCTCGGGAAACCGTAGGAGAACCCTCCAAGGGTGCCATCGAGTCGAGTGGGGCGACGGGTCGACTGGATTCCGATCGAAGACCCGTTTAGCAGATACATGGGCTATCATGCCCCGAATATACTGCCGCGTTGCGGGACTTCCGCCCATGCGGAATATTCATGGCAGCGCATTAGGAGCCGCCCAATCAGGATATCAGGGAGGATAGGGGATAGGGTTCGTGAGTAAGCGCTAGTTCTTTTCGGACTCCATCCAAGCATTTCGGCGATGATCGTTTCCAGTCTCACTCACTCCGAAGGGGAAGCCCAGCGGTCTAAGAGACATGAGGTCTGCGGGTTTCCACCCTCCGGCTGGGAGCGCTGAAAAGTGAAAATCTCTTTAGCGCAGAGAATCCCATGATAGAGTGCGGCAGCGCACAGAATCACCAGAATATCATGGAGTTATCTTGGATGCACTCCAAGTGCATTTCCGTCGCGATGCACTAATCCGAGCATTGTCTGGATAAAAAGTTGCTCTATGTGGTCATTCGTAATTCCGCTGTGCTCGGAGGCTAGACGAAAGCAATCATTTGAAAGGCTACGAGGAATATATTTGTCAGGATGTCATCGAATTGCAGATACGCTCATTTGTCAACTTCGCGCACATGAATCCGGCGCGTACCAGAATTTATGCTTTCCCGACCCAAGGCTAGACGATCGAGCTCAAAGAGTTAGTGAGCCTATTCCCCATTGGATTGTCATATCCGATCACACCCCCTCCCGGAACATGCTCTCATGTAGTGGATAACAACGTTCCGGGAGTTCATCGAGGAACTTCCATGAGATAGAAGGTTCCATTTAGAAATGATGACACAATAATCTCCCATTCACGCAGCTGATTTTATCTACCTTCAATAGCTGAATATTCTCTGGACTCAAGCCGGAACCTTCCACTCAGAAGGGCTCGAATACCCACAAATCGATTGACGATGATCCCGAGGACCTCCCTAGGCGACTGACATGACTGACATCTTGAGATCCTTGGGGAAACCCTTCCGCTTTTCGCATTTCTTCCGTGAAGGGATTGCTCGATCCACCATCGACGACACTCCTAGACGCTAGGAGCCACTTCGTTGATCGTTCGATTTTTACAAAACATCCGGGGGATGCTCTTAGCTCTTATTACCGCCTTTCCGTCATTTCAGAAGTCTCTCGCATCATTCTCATCTCTCTGGCGAATACCACGTTCTCTTACCGTTCCTTTCGATTCAGCTTCTCTTTGCCTGCGTTAAGCGAGACCAATCATGCGCCTACGAGGGACTCTCGTTCGGTGATAATTTGCCGACATAGACATGGAATCTTCTCCAGATTCTCTGGGTCATCGAGTTCCAGCCGCAAAACAGATTCAGAGCCTTCGGAACCGACATGGTCCTGGGCGTCCATAGTGTCGGAAACGGGGCCGATTATGAGAACTGGATATGAGGAGAAAAATTTCATGTTCAACCGATAAGATGGGGCCAAGAAAATCCAGTCCCCGAAAATTCTTGGCTCGAATCTGTCTCACTTACACGCTCACTCGAATGACCCGCAAGCTTCCAGCCGAAACACCGACAAGCGACTCCAAACACCCGGTATCTCTCACTTGTTTTGCGCGAAATAGGTTCGTTGGATAGAAAAGAACTCAACATCTCAGATATTCGTGAGCGTCTCAGGCGGTTTGCGGGAATTATCAACGGGAACGCTTTCCGATGAGTCGAATATTTACAGTCAAGTACTGAAAGTGTTCCCCATGTATTCCAGTTCTCGGACTAGTCGGCGGACGCTCTTTCGAGACGACCTCACATACTGGGACGTTTGGCTCTTTTTCTCCGTGAGGAATTAGACCTTATGTTCCACATGGTCATTCTCCTGCCTTGTCTCGGGCGTTCAATCTTCAACGTGGGAACGTCCAAGCTCTCAGTCGGTGGGGGACAACAGTCGGAGAGAATCTCAACACGAGGTCTCCGCGCCGACCGTTCATCGGTTATCACAACCGTAAGGAGTTGATCTGCTGAACTTGTCGGTGTAGAATGAGCGTTTCGAAAGAGAGAAACCGGTGTGACTGGGGTGACCGAAGCATGCGTCGCCTAATCATCGACATGAGCCAGGAGTCGCAGGTGGCGCGCGACGTCCTTGCACTTCAGGATCACCTGGAACGGGAAAATCTCCTGCCTGGCGAGAGAGACCACACAACTCCGATTCCCACCGAATGTCTCAGCCCCGATCCGGAGCTGATCGACCCCCTCTCCGGAGCGCTAGCCCCCTAGACGAAACCCGAGCCAGACATTCACGATTCACTTACCTCTTCCTGGACGAGATTGAACGACATAGCGATGATGGCAAGACCCATAATGAGGTAGAGACAGCATATAATCAGCTTTAATTGAGCGTCTCTGTCCTGAAAAGCGTAATGGTCTGTCGTGAAATCTCGAGACTTATCCCGAGGATCAACCGAGGAGGGTCTGGAGCGCTGCCAAAGATGAGCGCATTGTTGTCCAGAGGAAATTGTCTGCTAAGCGATCGGTTGGAGACTCTCGGCCTCTGAGACTGACCTGCAAAGTGTTCGTGGTGGGATCGAAGCCGAATGTACTCTGACCTGGTACATAGTCCCCGAAGCCGATCGTACTCAGCGTGATGAAGCAGAAATAAGCTCCATTCAAGATCGTCCAGCCTTCCCACTTCGAGAAGATTACAGCTCCAACGCAAATATAGGACGCTACGAAGAGCATCACTAAACACACAGGAATTCTCGCTGGAGCCACAGATACCGAGTTCGGCGAACTGCTGCGGGGAAGAGAAAGGGAAAATATTCAACATTCGCTCACTCGATTCGTACCCCCGCTATGGGTCCAATCGAGCAGCGGATCTCCAATCTCTGAACGGCTTCCGAAATTTCTGGAAATTCCAGACAGTCGCTGGCGCCCATGACGGTGAATCACAGCGCACGGCCCGCTCCGTTCGCAATCAGGCGGAGTAGGTTCTCGAGTCGAAGGAGGAAGAACAGATTGTCGGTATCAAAGGGAGAACGTGGTCGCTGAATTTTGGAGGCCAAAAACATTTTCATCCGTTTAGCGTCCGACGGTACATCGTCAAGGAGACAAATGGCTCCAGCGATGCGAAAGAGGTTACCCGAAGACTGTCGGCGGAAAGGGGGAGTATCCGTTCTTGTAGGACACGATGTCAAGTCGGCGTTGACGTGCTGCCTTCTGCGGAACTCCCGGAGAGACCATTCAATCCATGATGGTTGATGATGGGCTCGAGCTATTTCATCGAAATCGCCGACATCGATCACCTATCGGCCTGCTGCTTGCCACCGGGGATTTTTCGGAAGACCGATGGTGGTCGGAAGGACGGGCGACACATATATACAGTATCGAGTATTTTCGAGCGGGGGACACATGAGGTTGGAACATTCATCCGTGTGTCGTCATGATGGGGCCAAGATTTTGCTACATGTTTTTTTTTTAAGCGCCGCGAATCTGCTAACCCTAGCACGCTGTTTCTACTCGACCCTATTCTCACGATCCATAGAGAGCGCCCGGCTTGTTGAGCGCATAGTCTGGTGCTATGTTTGAAGATCAGAGAACAAGCCGCGCTTTTTGTCCCGGAGCGGTCTCGTTCGAAGACAGAGGATAGAAACACTTTCGGAAAAGGGAGGTCCTTATTCGAGTGGCTCGAATCGTCATTAAAAAGTCACAACAATGCCTCATGAATTTTATGTAGACTAAGCTCTTCCGCTTCCGCTCTACTGGTTGTAAAACGCCCTTCGGTAAGAGCTGCGGAGGAAGCAAGAACGACTTCGACACACATTGAGCTGCTATTCCTGGAATGGCCATCGAGGAATCGCCGGAAAAGAGATATAGCAAAAGCTGAACCGTCTAGGTCTAGGTAATGTGTCCCTGAGGGAGGACCCTCATGACAAGACGCTATGGGCATCGTACTCACCCTTCGAATCCGTTGGGGAGCATTGATCTAGGCTGCGGCGGAATTATGCACAAACAGCACATTTTCGAATAGGCAAATCTGAAAGAACCGGCGAGGACGTTTCCGATGTTTGATAGACAGAGGAGCATCAGGGGGATTCCGACCAGAGCGTAGAGGATTGTGACAACTTTTCCTTCATTCGTTTTCGGTGCGATGTGACCGTAGCCTGTGAATGGATCGAATGAGGAGTCAATTCGGCAATTAAATCGACACTCAAGCCGGATCCGACCCTCTCGTGTATCTCACTCGGGAGTCCTCAAATAAAATGTTAATCCATGCTCTCTGGAAGTGAACATCTGAACGCTGTCTGGGCTCAAGGCTGAGGGGCAATCGATCCGAAAAACCGAGAGGAGCAACCCTCAAAGTCCGAGCTCTCGCGGATGATTCCGCGAGTTGAAGAAGAAGAGCAGGCGAGCGGAAAAATCGATGAGGCATCCTCATCACGATCGTGCGAGTCTTTATTGTCTTTCTCGAAACAAGTTTGATAGAAGAGTCGTTTACGATGTCGATCGTTGCTGATTGTTCGCCTGCCCGGATTGAGTGTTTGTTCCTCGCCAGAGGAGACTTTGAGGTCGAACTATGGGAACATTTCTACTCCTGAGAGGTAGGCTATCCGCCCACGTCCACGTTCTTCGTTGAGACCGATCCCCATCACACAAATCCACTCTGGACCAAGCCGTCCTCCGGATCGAGACTCCATAGCGTCCTCCGACCGATGTCTGAGGTTTCTACGTCAGACTTGTTGTCCAGGGGTTCGATTCGGACCGGACGGCTATGCACGGTCTGGGCGTCGGGCGCTCGGAATTTATTGTGGGTCGCTTATAAAGTGCGTAGCCGCAGAGTAAGAAGGCTTTGCTTTGAATACCAGGACTACGCAGGAGCCCGAGGACGCCGCCCGCTATAAGCGCGGTATCACCGTACAGATGGCAAATCGCCCGCGATCGCGTAAAAAACCGGCCAAGCGATTCAAAGGCCGGTACTCGGCTCGTTTCGAGGCGTTGCGATCGCTCCGCATGCGTGACCTTGGATAATCTGACGTATCTCTCCGTGGGGCATCCGTGCCAGCGAAGCGGAGAACGACTCCGAATGAATCAGTCTGTCTATCGGAGTCGGAATCGCTTTCTTCCTGCAGATGACAGACTCCCCGAGCTGCAACATTTCAGTCCTAAAGAGCCAGTCCAATTTCAACAGACGACTCCGAATCCTCGGCGTCATCATGAGGTCACGAATGGACAGCCTGAAGTCCAGGACGGCGAATAAAATACGTGTCCATGGAGAGATCTTCGCCGAGACGGATTGCGGCGTTCGCTTGAGGAGAATCTCCCGACCGGAATGATCTGACTTGGGGAAAAACTCCAGAACGGCGAGACTCGATCGTTACGACCAACGAGGAAAAAATCATTTCTGTGAGTCAGTGTGCCAAATTTGAACGCCGTCCCGTTTCGTGGTTCGACGCAACTTCTGATCGAGCTGAGCGTTCTCATCTGCTGCGTCTCTCTCCCTTGTTGCTCCATTCTTGTCCTTTCATGAGATTCCGGCAATTTCTCGAGTTTCATCTCAGCTCTCAAATCTATGACGAGCCGACGACGCGTGAGCATCTTCGGAACGGCATAAAATGAATGGATCATTCTTGTTTAGCGCCAAGAAATCACTTCGAGATCGAGGCGTTCCACAGCGGACGTGCTGACTCAACTGCTATCGAACACATCTGAAGAAGCGAACGAGAGCAACATTCGCAGATCGCCTCCCTAGTTCCGCGCCGATGAAAGCAGAGAAGCTTTCCCGGTCAGCGCGAGTCTCAATTTTTCCTGACGACCCTTAGATGCGCCAGTGTTTTGAAAAGCTTACCCTTATTTTCATTGCGCTACCCGCAGCGCTGAGAGATACAAATCACCCGTGTCGTGTTGAGCTAACAAATACCGATGGGAGGACACTTGGTGATCGCCATAAATTCACCATAAGCATCTGAGGTCTTTGTCGGCTCGACAACGCGCAGCGACGATCAGGAGCGTGACATTTCCCCCATTGACATCGTGCGAGCCTTAGAGGGGGATTGGAACGAACACTGAGTATGTTGGAATCGAGACATCATGTTCCGCGTCAACGTTACGTGATCGACTCGCGTAAGCCACCGCCAGACTGAGAGCTTATGGATGAAAAATCCGGGAGGTCCGCCGTCAAAGAAACGGCGAGAGTAATAACCGAGAACCGATAGCCCTTGATTCGATAATGATGACGATCATTAGGTGAATTGTGGAGCAGTTTTTGTGTTTTTTCCTTGCTCGAGTTAGCAAGACTCCAGTCAATGCGCCGGTCGAGTCCTCAGTCGGTCTGAGCTTGAATCTCGTGCCATCCGCTCAAATTGAGTTGTCCGCTCCCTTAGAAGTTGTGGCACCCGATCGACGTTCGATTGTTCATAAGTCACAAACATATACACAAATAGAGATAAATGACGTCATTCAATGTTTACACGTGGTGAGCTGGGAAAGCACTACCTAGGCGCCAGCGCGCTACTTCTGTCAATTTGAGCGGCACTGCAGCGAACAACGCTCCCTGGCCACAATGAACACTGTATGACTGGCGCATCTAATGGAGTTAGGCGGGAGATGCTGGGCTGTATCATACTCTCGCATTTTCAGTCCGTCTAGTGGCGGATCTCAATCGCGACTTTCCATGAAGGATAGGGGGACGCTGATCTGTGAGCTGTGAGTAGGATGAAAATCGGGAAGGACCTCAATCGCCTTAGAATTAGTTGTGGTCACAAGAAATGCTTCACGAGTCCCGTCGTCCCATCTCTGTCTAATGTAGCATGACGAAAGTCGCCTTTCGAAAGGGGTCCTCAATCTAGAGTCGAGACCTTTCGTTTGATCCGCGAGAGAATGGGTTGCGGAGGAAACGCGACATCAACCGACCGCATCATTCTCGTGGAAGACGGATGAGATGAAAAATTCGAGAGGAGTACCTCTATATGGACATCTCACCGGTCGGGTACCTGCATGGAGACAAGACCGAATGCATTGCTTCTCGGAGGAATCCGGGAGCCGCATGTTCGCCGTGAGAATGACATGGGGCGACTGTTCCGCAGGCATGGGCTCTTGCTCATTCCTGGCAAGCAGTCTCTGGGGTCCGTGAAAACACGCGGCATGGATATCGCAAGTTCCGCATATGGTGTCTCCGACGGAATACAATTGGGATCAGGTGTATGGATTGTCGATGCAACTCTTCCGGGGTTATCCACGGAACTCCTCGCGGCGTCTCGGATGATCGCGAGCTCTCCCTGATGATTTCTGCCGATTCTCTACGAGCCGAAAGTTAGGCTCTCGGGAGACTCGCTCAGACAGGCCAATTCAGCCTGGAGTCTACAGTTCGCTGGTTCGAGAATCCGGGAGTCATCCAAGCCAGCGGTGAAGAATATAGCTCGAGCGCGATCACACGGAATTGGGTGCTTCACTAATAACTGGAGTTCCCAAAATTCGGACATTTTCATCTTCCGACTCTCGAATGAGGATAGATCCGATTGCGGCATTTGTAATCTAGCGTTTCCCACATCGTCCGGCGACAGGGATAACTCATCAGAGACGATTCCCTCGTCGATGTGGTCGTCGGTCTTCGCTCTTGCGGATTGTATAGATATGAAATGTCCGAAGTTTAGGAACTCTACTAATAACTAATAACGAAGAAACGACGCCCGCGCCAACGATAAACGCACTTGGAGCCAATTTCCCGGTCTTCGGTAGATAATGTCGACGGCTCATTCGATTTCGAACTTCTCGGCGCCCTTGAACCTAATATTGTCATCATCAGAGCATTCCAGCCCGGTTCTCAATAGATCGAAACTCTCCCCAGTCGATCGTGAATCGAGAGGGGCCGGATGCATCCTGTCTTACCGATCTATTGTACTTTCATTCGCTCTCTTCAATCAACTCGATCTATATCCCCCTGTTCAGCAAGCTGTCGGTCGAGGAGTCTAATTCAATAAAAACGAAGAAGATAAAGTAAACGATGAGCGCCCGAAGGTGTTCAAAAACAGACGTAGAGTAGTTGCCTTCCGAAATGTGCTCTCGGAAAGCTTTCGATCTTATCAGATGTTTGTCCCTTTTGTTTGCGCGAGCGTATGTGGTGTGTGCTCGCCTATTTGTGTTGTTGGTGACATGCCGGCGCGGCTGGCTCTACTTGAGCAGAGCCAGCCAAGAGGCGCACAGTGACACATTGCTGTCACTTCAAATGAGATCAAGCTGCTCAGGAAGCATCCGGCTCTAATATTGTTGTTAGTAAAGACGGTCTCTCGACGAACGAGGGTCTTGGGGTGGCAGGACGTCTCACCAGCAGGCTGAGCGATCGAAGACGACGTCATCGGCTCCGACGATGATGATTTCTGAAGACGGCTCCTCGCCGTCCTCTCCTCAATGAATCCATTGGCCCCATATGCGCAAATCCAGGAATTTCGCCACCCTCTTCGCATCTGAGTCCGTCGTGTTGCATCAATGTCCCAAGAAGTGCTTCATTTGGAAGCCCGCTGAGAACGGTGTGATAGACACTCAAACGTTCTGCTCTGTTACAACGTGTTTTCTACATGTGATGTCTCACCGAGAGACGAATGAGCTCGACTCGAAGCACCTTGGTCGACATTTCAAGCCGATTTATTCCGGTGAGAGCAGTGCCAGATTTTCTTCCGCGGCTGTCAGTCGGAATTCCTCGAGCGTTGCGTCTCTCTCCTATGACGAGAATGGTGTTCGGGACGAACCCTCGTTTCCGGGAGCCGAGCCAGAACAGGGAATCTCTGAATGCCGGGAGTGGGGGGCGATGCGCTCCTACAGGAAAGTGGTCACACAGTGAACGTTCTCGGCAAAAGGGCAACAGCGTCAACTATCGCAACGAAGACCACCACCAACACGACAATCAACATCACAATAGCAGTATTGAGACGCTCGTATGTTGAGCAGGCGCGGGACGGCGCAAACCGCCGACAAACGCGCCAGAACAGCTTTGAACAAAAGCTCCTCCTGAACGCGGCGACTCACATACCGGGAGATGTGTTGGGTCTGACTCGCACGCGAAAGTCGCTTCTCGACTTGTCGTTTCTGGTTTCTGAATGACAATGAAGAAGAACGCGCGCCCCCGCTTCGAGGACAGCGCGAAGGCGAAACATCACCGGAAACAGAAAGTTCGTGACCGCGAGGCCGGCGTCGTCCTCAAGCAACACATTCTTCCCTCGAATCTCGTTCCCGACTCTGGATTTTTTTCACTTAGATCAAATCCGCTTTTTCTTCGCTTCTACTCCGCGAAATCTGGAAATTCCGACCCCACAGGAGCCGCACCCATGCCCGATGACTATAACTTTTGGTTACTTGAAAAAAATTTACTCTTAGAATCGTTAATGAAAAATCATTATCCGATCATTCTCCAGACATCGACCTCGGTCACCCCGCATTCTGTTGCTCTTTCCAATATTCATTTGATTAGGCATGCACACGGTTCCTCTGCAAACAAACGTTGTGAAAATACTGTCGATCGTTTCGCTTGATCGGCATTGTGGTGACATTTCTATTGAGTTCCTCACGCCACAAGCGCCTGTATGCTCGCTGACCAGCCAATGGGAATGCGATTCGAAAGCCTCGCTCGAGAATAGACCGCCTGGCTGGTACGAGTAGGCCGAGCGTGTTCCAGAGGGGGCGGCACTCTGTTTGAAGCAGAGCGAAGCGCGCTTTGTCTCTTCTTAACTTCACCGCATCACTTGTTTCTAAGAGAATTGCTCTTGTTCATCCCTTTGAGCGTTTGTCCGTATCTGTGGAAGCTCTGAGATTTGTCTTAAAGTTCGAGGCGAAGCAATCGGAACAGCCGGGATTTCAGACGATCGTACGCTTTTCAGCCAAACACTTTCAGAGGGCTCCCGGGCATGAGATAAAACCAAGGCGATGGCTTTGGAAATATCCAGTTGTATTCGCGACAAGAGTAAGTTATCTGAGCTCTGCCTCGGTAAATAGATCACAGCTTGCGGAGTCCCAACTCTCCGCTCGGAGCTTCTCTGGCTACCTCTGGCTGAGTTGAGTCTCGTGCTCGTGCCGTGCCTCTCCGACAGGCTCATATTTTTCCTCTAAACATTTCCCCAGCCCGGCTCGCGATCGCGACCGATCGCAGTGAATCGTCGCCAACAATCACATTATCTGCACCGAGGATCAGCAACATTTTTCCGACCGAACCTCTACCGAAAATTAATCAAGAATCAAGACTCGCACGACAATGGCGATGGGGTCGATTGCGCACTAGAAAAGATCCATAGTGTAGAGTTCGAGAGGCCAAGAGGCCGTTCCATCCAGAGCGAGTTGGAACGGGGAATACGCGAGTCCATAAAGAAGTTCTCGGTGCAGGTCGTCGAGTGTCAGAGCATTGATTAGGGTGAGCGAAGGGGACTCGAGGCTGCAGTTCTGCGACCCTCTCCCTCATGTGAATGGCCAGAGGTCTTTCCCGGGATGCAGGATGATTCGCAGGCTCAGGAATCTGGGGTAAGAAGCCCGCGTTCTATCGGTGCTCGAGACTGGGATCCGTCTTTTGCATAGCTCCGACGTAAAGCACACGACTCCTTGATGGAGAAATATATCTTAATCTATGCCTGAAGGTCATGATATGGTAGAGCCCGTCATAGGGATCTCTCCGAAAGAGAGAGGAGGTATCTCTCGAGATTTCCCTCTGATTCCGGGCTGTGATATTCCATTTTTCAAGTCAAGGAGTATGAACTGGCTTTCCGAACAGAAGCTCGGTCCTCTCTCTCCTCCACCACCTCCCTCCAAGTACATTTCCGGCTGTTTCTCATATTCGCGTCCTGTGATCTGGAAGCTGACACGAATGACGGCTGCGGACTCTTTCGACTAGGACCAGAGGAAGCCATCGTGGATAATTGCTCAAGAGCCGTCGACGTTTGGCGAATAGCTCTCCAACTAAGCGTCGACATCAGTCGTGCAGAACCGCTTCGGTAACTTGAGGGAGGGAGACACGGAGAGGAGAATTCTACCACACGGAGAGATGGCAGTCTCGGAGTCATTGGGGACGAACGAGACCGCTCGTTGGCTGCGGTCCAAATCCCGATTTGCTACAAAATATACGTCGCGTATTCTTCTGCACTTCTGCAGCACAAATTCGCGCGGTTGAGCAGTCTGGTTGCTGTCATCGCTTGCACGAGCCTCTACAGGGAAAGCGACACTCCGATACAGTCAACCTCGATTCCCAAACGGCGCGTTCTCGGAGACCGGTAGACCATTTTGATGGCATTATTATTTTATTATTCCTCTCTGGAACGATCTGCCGGTGGAAACGAAGGAAAAATTCCAAATGGGATAATTGTATCAAGATATCGGCCGCGGTGACGGACGAGCCTTCATTCAAGTTCTTAGTGCGCACCCTAGAGTTGACATCGCCATCGTAAGACGGAGTTACGCTCGTAAAGCCTCCTCACACTTGCGAGAAAAGACATAGCGGCCCCCCGCACGGAGAGGCATCGTTCATGGCCTCAAGGAAGGTTCGCTACCCTCTGAGATCTTTCCAATGCTTAATTATCTATTTGCGTTCGGTGTCGCATAGTACTCCCTCTAACGAACATGACTAAGAATCCGCGTCGATCTTCTCAAGAGTCTAATCATCATCATCATTGCCCCGGATCCTTTTGTGCCGTCTATTTTTCGAGTTCGATGACTCAAGGATTGGATGAAAATTTTCAAGAACTGACGGGAACGGATATCTCGATAATTTCTGTCACTCCGAAGCAATATCATCGGAAACGACATCTTCATCTCTGCCTCTTTCCAACGATCGCGTTTGCGGGAGATGATTCGGAGGATATTTCAACTTACCGATCGTTGTGATGACGGTGATGCAGTATAGTAAAGCTCCAGAGAATGTCCATTGCACAGGTTGGTCGCTATCGTTCCCATCGTAGCCATTGTCGCGAACCGCTTTCACGACGTCTTCCTCATACCTGTTTCACGAGAGTTGACTGTAGTTCTATCACGCCGGGGAGAAGTCTTCGATTTCGGGAGAAGCGACCGGAAACTTACTTTCTCAATCGACTCTCGACGGCTCGTATCCAGCGGGCCCTCTCGAAGACGTTGAGGCGTTCGGTGATGTTGAACATGTCGTCGAGGCAATGAGATCGAGAAACGCGAACTTGTTGGCGGTTTATGGTTTCTTTTTCGGCCTCGATTGATTTGAATAGGAAAGCCCCCCCGACAGCGTACGCCACAACCAAGAGGCAAAGACCGAGTTGAGATAAGAGGTGCGTTAGGAAGACCTTGACGCATTGCCGGAACTTTGCGCCGCGCGATTTTCCTTCTGTAACCTTACTGTCGACCCGCAGCGAAATTTCTGATTTGGCGTCTTCCATATTTTGGACGACAGAGAGGAAACGATCCGGACAGAGGATCGAGGAGCAGTGAAGGTACGCTCAAAGTAGGCTGGTCGGGCTACATGACGTAAGTTTGACGTTTTCCTCGTCGCGGAGGCGGGGCGACCGCATGTCTCTGCGGAGGGATCGGAGGAGCTTTCTGCGGAAGGAAAATACCAAAATGTATAGAAGATTCCGTCGAATTCTAGCCCGAGTCCTCTGCCAATCCTACTACCGCAGATGCTTGAGTCACAAGTTGTCTCTGATCAGAACGCCCGTGGATAGATTTGGCGATTGCCTTGTTTGTTGCTTACGGATTGGAGACGAGCAATGGAGATGTTTCGCAGCAGAATATCGTTGGAAGCGCGGCGCGACGCGATAGGACAGGTCAAAACTAGCGGAAAAGCCCGGGGTTCCCTCGGAATCGCGAAAAATCGCGGAAATCGGTCCGAATCCGCGGTTAGAGGGGTCCCCGGAGTTAATTGTTGGGTTTTGCAAGCTCGACCCATGTGGCGAATCCCGAACCGGCCCTGTATGCGAGCTCGTGGCCCAACCCAAGCAATGGCACCGAGCTCTGTCGTCATTTGGAAAATCTCCAATCCTCAGAGCCTGATTTCACAATCGGAGAGGCGGTTCTCCTTAGTCGCTCGGAGGAATTTTGATCTAGGTATCTTCGAGTGTAGTAATGACGAATTCCAAGGGAATCACCGAAAGCTGCTGGAAACCGCGAGTTTGGATGCCGGTGCGAGAAATTAACATCTCTCACTGTGACTTATGACGTGATCGCCATTCGAAGACGCTCATTTGCTCAAAACACTGGCCGCAGTCAAGGTATACCTGTTACCGACGATTCTTGAAAGCCTCAATGTAAGCAAACGCAGAGGGAACTATCTTATTTGTCAGCATCGCTGTGCTCTTCCTCACCGTCTTCATAAAAATGTTCTCGGGAGTGGAAGTGCGCGAGTAGCGAATGAAACATGTTGTAGCTCGAAGAAAACTGCCGGATTGGGCTCTTGCTCAAATCCACGGCTGAAGGGAGGGCCATTGGAATCGAGACTGACCCCCAGATCCGATCATTATTCGTCAGTACGCCGAGGCTAATGCGAGTCGATGCCATTCAAGAATTGAAGAACTACCTAAAGAGAAGCTCGATTCCCCCGAGGTACTCAATGTAGAATTCTCGGCAGCATTTTCGGCCTGACAAGCGAATTGAGAGGCGGCGTCTTTTCATTCTTCTGCGGGCTCTTTCTATGGAGGCAGCGCTCCCGCAATCGAGCCATCGGAGAATCGACACATGTACCGCCGTCTCCCTTTCTGGTTGTGTCCTCCGGCGTCTATCGGGTTCTGTGCCTGCTCACGGTAGCATGATCACAAGCATGACCACCTTTCAGACGATTGATTCGAGCAGAGTCTCGCCAAACAACCTTGTGACATAAACAACCGGACGAATAAGTCTTCTGGACCGTCTTCGCGTCGCAGTCGGTGCAAGAGAAAGAGAAGTTCGAGAAAGCACGTCGAGAGTCGAGGAGGAGTTACGCGTGAAAGGGTTGCCATGCGTGAGATATTGAACGCAAAAGAAATCAGTCCGAGAGCGATATCGGCCTCAGATCCTTCCGATCAACATGCGGAGTTTTTTTCTAACAATCACGATCATCGATAGACACGGTCCCAAGAGGACGATCTGCTCCGACCTTCCGAGTCGACGGTTGCTCCTGTTGAATCCCGCGATAAAATCGTGATGGAGCCGCGCTTTCAAATGAAAAACGGGATCGTGTCGCATAAAATCATCTGCTGTCTGACGAAGGCTCACGTCTCGGTCTCCTGCCTGTGACGTGTTCTATGCGAGGTTTCTCGAGATTGCCGGCGAGGAACGATTGATTATCCCGACTCGTTCCTCAGAGCCGTGAGTGAGTTTATCGCCGTGAGTTCGAAATCTGAGGAATGGGACCGGCCGATATCTTCGCAAGCTTTGAGGATAATTTTCCCTCAAAAATGAGCATACCCTCCAAAGCTCAGGGATGACATATCGATCTCAAAAAAGTGGGTTCGCGTTTATCATTTCGACACGGAAGCGCACTCGGGAAGCAAACATCTGAGAAGCGTGAGAGAAGAGCTTCCGAGCAGCGTAAATATCATACATGCGAACTAGCGTAACATTTCATGGCTCAGCCGACTTCCAGAACGGAATCTCCAGAAACGGCAGTGCTTCAAGCATTCGATCATACGTGAAATTAACTCAGTCAGGAATTTCTGCTCCCAGTTCCCTTCAATTCCGATGAGCTCAAAGCTCCGCAGGGAGAAGCCGGGTTTCGCTGAGGCAGATTCCCAGGCTTCCCGGTGACATTTCTTGCAGTTTTCCCCCTCGGTGCCCTCCAGGGCTGTCTGGGATTCCGAGCCAACTGGCTCGGTGGAGAGAAACTCCATGCGAACTTACTACAAGTCCATGCAATATCGATGCTTCGAAGAAGATATTTCTCGTCGCTCACCTTCGATTTTCGAAACCCGCAGAATTTCGCGGCTGGAGTCGAAGAATTCGTGAGGAGCGAATATATGAAGCAAATGAATCACTCTTAACCTATTGATGCCACTGCATGATTCAAGTTTCATCAATCGAATCTGTCTCTTTGCGATATATCGCGCTCAGACTCCTGGCCCTCCGACCAAGGTTTCGAGTCCGTTATGGGAAAGGTCTCGGAAAGGGTTTCGTGGGAGAGAGTAAAACTTTGTGACTGCCTACACGACCCAAGAATTTTGAACGTCGATCTACAGCGATGGTTCGAATGTAGTCATATATAGCCACCCCACAGTTTTATTGACCGCTTTGTAGCCGGTGAAATTTTTTTAATGATGCTTGGCCCCGGAGCTCAGAATTCCATGACTGCGACACAGGGCTATTCCCGACTGAAGCATCCGGGATCGGAAAACCGTCGCGAGGCTGATCTCCCGCACGAATTCACAGCCTATCTCCTTCCCAGATAGACATCGAGTATCTCGGGAAAATTTGGAGTTGCTTACCGAATCCATTATTTTCTGAGAAGCTCTTTGATCGCTTCCGATGGAGGGACTTCGAAAAATACAAGTCGCTCCATCGACAGTTATGATTCCGAATGGGAAGGGCCAAAGATCTCCCCAGCTACGCTCTACACACCGACCAAGTTCACCCAGTCCCGGTTCCGGATCTCGTGAGGATTTGGGAGCCCCTAACTTGCACACTGCCCATGTTGGCCATCAACGGGATGAGCATGTTCGTGACTCGTAAGGGCCTTCTTCCAAGCATAAGGCTCTTAAACCGAATGAGCTGAATGAGTCATCCACTTGGATAAATGGAAAAGAACGAGTCATCGGATCTTCGACAGCCCGATTACGATGGACCGGAATTGAACCAGACCAACTCAGAGAGTTGATTGATTTGAATAGTGCGTGAGATCGAGATAGCTTCACGGTGAGAGGTGAGAGTAATGCGAGGCAGGATGACGGGGTCCGTCAGTTCTACAGAAGAGATGGAGAGATCGATTTTTATTTTGTGATTTTCTCGGCTGCTCCCATCCTGTGCTTCAATCCATCTGAGCCATCTCTCTGAGTTGAGATACCTATGATTCCACGGGGGAAATCTCTCTTCGCACTTCGAGTCGATTCCCCATTCGCGTTGACTCGGCTCCGGAAGAACGAAAGATCTCTGTTTTTCTTTTCGAGACGCGTATGCCTCGGCAACGGACATCCGCGTCGCTCAAGCCCGTGTCGTCGAAATCGCTTCGTCGGTGTCTTGACGGGGCGGATCATGAGGAATCCTCGCATCCATGTCAGCCAGGACGAAGGCCATGCTGGCCCAGAGAGCCGTCGCTCGGTCCAACGCTGAGGGATCCATCATGTGCATGGTGTCGGCGTTCGTATGGTGATACCGGAAGTAATTATCGTTTTTGTTGAATAACGAGGCACCCGGCACTCCGAGTTCGAACCTGTCGGCGAAACATGCGGGATCTGAGTCACGTCTTCGCTGAAATCACTCGACGATATCGAAGAGATTCACTTACCACTTCTCGATGTCTGGGCCGTCGTACTGGGGATCGAATGCTGTCGCGTTGATCGAATCCAGGAGACTCAGAACTTTCTTGATCATGCAGACAGCCTGCAATCGGGGTCCCGAGATTGAGGGGGAAATCCGTGCCGATTGAAAGTTTGAAATTCGAACTCAAATTCGTCGGAATCTTCCATCCCGATACGACACAAACCATTTCGTTCTTGACTCCACTCGATAGCCCCAGTGGTGAGAATGTTCCGATATCGGACTCCATCATGAACTGGATGAGACTCGCGTTCTCCCGGTGCGCCTCGAAGTATGCCGCACCGCCCAGCACCCCCATTTCCTCGGCTGTGAAGAGTATTGTCCTCACGGTGCGTCTTGGCATGAGGTTCAAATTCTTCAGGACTTCAAGAGCTCTCCAAGAAATCGCAGCGCCGCCTCCGTCATCCATCGCGCCTGCGAAAAAATCCGTGTCCAAGATCGGGACGGCCATTTCCTATCTCAGAGGCCGCTCGTCTTACACCGATTCGGCGGATGTGCGGTGTTTCGAGCGCCTCCTTCATTCGATTGCGATTGATTCAACCAGTCAGCCGAATCGGTCCACTCACCCTGACCTACGTCCCAAGAATCGATGTGTCCACTGATCACCACCATCTCCTCCGGATGGTCTTTTCCCGGGAGATCGGCTATGAGGTTCCTTGAGCTGGTAACGCCCGCCTGTGCAGCCATGGATTTGATGTAGACCTGCATCGCTTCGCCTTGAGAAGGCATTCGAAAGTTAAAATATGTTCGTAGCTTCCGCGACCGACGTTTCCGAGCACCCATGGAGCTGGAAGCCGGGCCGACTGCCCTCAATGGTGCAGATGAGTACCTCGTTGTTGCTTCCTCCACATGAGCTCCGCGTCTTCGACAGTTATGCTGAGCGCCGGTATCTTGGTTATGTTGACTCCATACGTCATCATTCCCGTATGCGGCGTGTACAGAGAATAATCTGTCACGGAACGAATGAGGACAGCTACCGCTCCCCTCTCGGCGGCTCTCGATGCGCCCTCCGTGCGGTAAATCACGCTTTTTGCGTAGCCCTCGTAGTCTTGATTAAATACAACGATCTTCCCCGTGATCTGAGGATTGAACGCACGGAGGAATTTCATTACACCCGATTGGAGAGCTAGCGATAAGGGGATGCGATACGATGGGAAGGACCACGCCGCACGCCATGGCCAAAGGCGTCCCGCCGGTCTCTCCGGTTTGACTCTGAGACGTACAGCCTCACTCTCCCTGTCTCTGGGATTCACTGCGTTCATTTTTTACGTAAACTTATATATTCCAGATTTCCCATAGCCGAGCGCTCACGTTTGGGAACGCCTCCAATTCTTCGAAGGATTTTACAACGACGACATCGGCGACTAAACCGAGATGACCAGTTCCGACAGAGTAGCCCAAGGTCAACGAAGCTAAGGTTTTGTTCCTGTTGCCCTTCCAGGCATCAATTAGTACAACTCTGGTGTCCCCGCGTATCCAAACAGGAACCGTGACGGGTTCCTCGGCCACCTGGAAACAATGAGCTCTCGGCTCATGGGCTTGTCTTCATTCTCCGGGATCAGAGGGAGCAGGGAGATAATGCAACAACAACGAACATTTTCAGGGCCTGCTATGTCCGAAAGATGGTTCAGGCGATCGTCGATCGCGTGTTCGAGCTGGATGGTTCCGGTGAAGCGCGGACCGTGTGAGTCGACGAAGTCAGCCAACTGTCGATAAGTTTCACCCTTGGCTGGAGAGAAAAGCATCGAGAAGTTATGATAACTGATCCTGAAATTCCTTCCTGTCGTACCGGAACCAAATGGGGGAAGTTCTCTGGGATAGAAATCGCGCGAGCACCGTCGCGATGGCTCTGCCATGATCGGAGGGGAAAATGGCCACTCACAAGTCTCGGTACAGTGAAGGATGATCTGTTCCACGATTTGCCGATAGCCGTTGACTTTCTCGTCAAATTCCGGGTCCAATATTTTTTCGCAGTGATCGCTGAGAGCTCCTGCCGCCCCTGGGGCGTTTATTGCCACTATATCTCCGAGGGTCGGATCGGCCGTCGGCGCCCCCTTAGAATTCGGATCATCGAGGGCTCCGACGACGTCCTGAGAAGCCTCGCCTCCTGGAGTGGCCATCGCTCGTTCTGGAGCGCTTTCCTGTCGCTTCTGACCAACGAGAGGCTGATCCGTGGACGGGGCGCCAGCAAGCTCATCCTTGGCTGTTGTGCCAGCCAGTTGGTCCGTGGCTTGCCTCTGAACGGTTCCTGCTCCGGGCGGCGGGCTGACAGGTTTGTCGGCGGGATCACCTGGGGGTGGCCTTCTGCCGTCACTAAGGGGTGTCACATGAGAGCATCATCCAGATACGAGAGAGATCTCGAGGTGGAGGAGGAGGAAGAGCTGAACCTTCCGCATCGTACAGACGCATTCGGATTCTCGGAACGTAGAGCCTCAATATTTATGCAAAAAATGTGCGGAAAAAGGGAGAGGGAATGGAGCAGAGAATAGGCGGAGTATTCGCACAGCACTCGGGATAGTTTTCTCTGGAGAAAGCTCTGCGCGGGAGGTGCATAGCCTTGCCCTCCCGGAGTTGCACGGGGAGTCATGCCGAAAGATACACAAGACCCTTTGAGCCCAGCCGGATCAGCGAGAAATTCGGAACCCGCTATATCAAGCAGAACAAGCGATAGATGCGCAATACGCAGAGATCTGCAGAAGATGAATGAGACATCCTAGAGGAAGAATTAAATATGCGACATCTGAGTATGAGGAGAATTTGCATAAATTGAGTGGCCCCAGCGATGACGTTTCTCTAGTGACCTGAACAGGGCAAATTCACCATTCTTTGAAGCGTCCCCGTGTGATAGACTCTGAATGCGTGTGATGTGTGTAAGCATCTCACCCGGGTCAGCTGTACTATTAGCGTCAGCTGCAAAATCCCTCTGGAATAGCTTGTCGCTTCTTCGGAATAAGTTACTGAACCATCTGAAGCCAGTGGCTGGAGTCACTGGGTCTTGATTGACGGTACCCGGTGGTCTGGTTGTACGATTCGTGCTTCCGCTCAACTGATCGGGCCCGGGTCCGAGCTCGACCCTTGCGCTCGAGCCGGAAGCACCAGCGGATGCGGAAACCCCTACCGCGGGGTTTCCGACACTCGCGACGACGGCGGTAGGACCACCAGACGCCGAAGCCTCGACGCTTGACGTCATGGCCGGTAAACCGTCTGTGCCTTGAACCCCGACCGCCGGGATAATGACGCTCGAGCTCCCGGCGGGAGGACTTCCGACGCTCGATACTACGGTGGGAGCGCTCCCACCGCTCGACACCACGACGAGTGGACCTCCTGCGGGTGCAGTATCTGCGCCTGGGTTCCCGACATCCGAACTCGCGACAGAAGATCCTTCGGCCGATGGACCTTCAGTTGATGGGTCCTCGAGCGGGACGGCGGAGACACCAGCTTGAACTTCGGCCTTATTCGCGTTGACCGAAGATGAGGCCGCGACGGATTGGCCTGCTGAGGCAGACGCCGAAACGTGGTTTCGAATCTTGTCCCCAGAACGGCCGGGCATTGTCTTGATGAATATGCCTTGGTCGGTGATGTGCGTCACACTGGCCGGAGGAAGACTATCCGAATTTACAGAGATGTTGTGAGTGGGCACGGGGTTCTCGTTGACGGACTCATTCGGGGTACTCACTTCGGTTGGGAAGCTCGAAGTCTCAGGTGTGTCGGGAACGGGAGTGAAGGCGACAACGGCGATCGCAAGACCAGGGTTCCCGGCAGTGCCTGCGGAGGGCGCGACGGCCGCGACGCGGGCGGGGATGACAATGCCGCCATCAGGGGAAGCGGTCGCGACCAAGGAATCGGAACGAGGGGCCGTCAACGGTCCGACCGAAGAGGAATCTCCGTCGGTGGCTGAAGTCGTCGTGCTGTTGGAGTCCGATTCCGGAGCCTCACTTTCGGACGACTGGTTGGCGACGGCGTCGGTCGTGTTCCCAGGTTCGCCCGCAGGGGATACCGCTGCGGGATCGTCGCTCGCGTCTACGTCTCCAACAATGTCATTAGACCTTCTGGGGGAGGCTCCTTGATCACGAGCGACGAGATTCGTCCTTCCTCGAGTTCCCGGAGAGTCGGACGACGAGGTCGAAGTTTCAGAGGAATTCCCGGCTCCGGGCAGGTCCGTCTCAGTCGAATCCGGGGAGGACGTCGTTCCGGCATCCTCGACAGAATCTGCCTCGGTGTATTCCGATGGTCCCTGATCAGAACCCTCTCCGCCGTGTGGGGAAAGCGAGTCGCGGGGCCCGATCGTTGATAGGTTTGCCTCTTTTGGGTCGTTATCGCCGTATGGCCGGCTAGTGGGATCTGGCGGACTGTCGGCGAGACGTCTCGGATTCCGATTCTGTCGGAATACAGGTTTCCTTGCTGTCGACGATTTGCCTAAGGATAAACATGCATGACGAGGACTCAGAACGTGCCTGGTACGCAGATCCCGAGAAACACACCCCAGGCAAGTGCCAGCCCAAAACAAGCATCCACTCTGAGCCGAACGAGAACAATAATCGAAAAAAAATACCTCGACAAAAAACCGAAGACCTCGACCGAGCCAAAGCCATAGCCAGCTATGTTCCTTTCGGAGAGATTCCGGGAAATTAGGATTAGGTAGTCAGGAGACAAATAGGCTGGACGACGAAATCGCACCCACCTCCTTGGCTGTCCGCAGTGGGGCTTGAGGGGCGATCGAATGTTTCTCTCGAAGCCTCCGACGGTGAGGGATCCGAGTCTGGGGCTCTTGACATTCGTCGGCTCCGTTTCAGGCTCACAACCGTAAACGCGAACGCACAAAGAACGATCATGCCTGAAAGTCCCCTCTGCATTTGTGATGTCTCCCGAAGCCGAATCATTGACTGAGTCAACATCGTCGAGTCTGTTATGAAGCAACGTGGATTCCGGCGCGACACTCACCGAAGAAGATCTTCATGGTTGGGGGCCTTCGACGAGGTCGGATGGAGGTGGAAGTGAGAAGTTCCCGCCTCTCTTCGTCTGTCGTGGACGTGGACCACTGCGAACAACGGAAAGAACCTTAATGTCTTCGGTCGGGTGTTCTGTGTTGAAACGCCGAAAGTTTCCCAGAGTGACGTCTCTGGGATTGGAGCTCACATTGCCCATCACATAATCCGTTCAAAGCTTGTCGAACGGAATGAATTTTACTGAGACCCTGAGAGCCAGTCCGGCTATCTCCGCTCGATCGATCTAAACACCGACGAGAGGTCGAGTGGTCAGCGCGTCTGAAACTTCGTGTGCCAGCCGCAGGCCGAATTTCCTCCTTTTGGACACCATGCTCGGATGGAGTACTTTCGAAAATTTTCGAGGTATGGACTCGGTGAGAACCGACGGTCTCAGGATACAACAAGATCTTAACTTCGAATTCTCGTGGATTTCATAGAACGCTCGAATGCCTTCCTTCCCATCCTCTGCACGCGCTGTAAGATGGGATAAAAAAGAGCATTGTCCGACGAATCAAACTGATTTTCGCTCCGTGGAATGAGATCGACTTCTCCGGCGTGCCCGCCGGGGAAAACCCAGCTCCAAGAATTTCGGCATAAGGGGAACAGCCCATATATTCGAAATATCGCGACTTTAGAGGAACGCTCGCCGGGAGGCGAGTGAGTCCCGCGATCACCTCCCTGATCGCCAACCACATCGATGTTCGAGGAACGCTCCGCGAGACGCGCGAGTCACCCGAGGAAGCCTCAGGGATCTCAGTGATACTCGGGGCTCCGTGCGGGCGTCGCCACCGCTAGAGGCTCACGCACCCGCGAGCGGCTTCAACTGCTGATCACTGATCAGTCATCAATTTCATCAATTTCTAGTCATCCTGTATGATAGGGTGTCTAACGATCATGAGCAATGGATTTCCGGTAGAAGTGACAGTGCCCGTCGCTAAGCTCTCTCCGTCCCGATAGTGCGGCCTCCAAAGTCTCGTGAGTATTCATGGTGAATTTCCCGGCCATGGAGCTGAGCAGCGATTCTTCGGAATTTTCGGAAGGTTTGGCTACTCGTCGGGAGACGTTGTGACAACAACGGAATGCAGGAAGCTTGTTGGAGTGCGCGATAGCAAATCAGAGATTCGATTCATCAAAAGATTCGAGAGAAGGGATGAAAGCACGGGATCACGAGGAATCGCGGGAAGCCGGAGAATTCGCTCGAGACGAAGAGCCGATAGAAGGAAAGGGGAAAAGATGCATCGACCCACGGGGCAACCATGAGGGAAATTTACGATGGGCCTTTCTTTAGGATTGAGGTATCCCGACTCAGTCTCGGTCTGGGCACGGGAGCGGACCGGGGAAAACCAGCAAGTTTCGATTCTTCAAATATATTCAGTACCTTTTCGAATTTGTCACTATCCTATCGGAGGTTTGTCAACTCTCAAAACCTCAACATCTCCCGAGCTCATCGTTCGGGTAAGAGGGAGTTTCTCCAATCTGAATTAGGGAGCGTCGGCCATCCTGCGGAATGGGTCATCGGCCCTGTCCCAGTCGGATCGGCCCTATGCCATGTCGCTGAACGAGCATACGCTTGATATGGCGAGGAAACAGGAGTCCTAGGCGGCATTGCTCAGCGAGGGAGTGACTTTGAATTAGGTTCCGAGAGACTCCAAGAGAGAGTGATGACTTATTTCACGCCTCATCTTTCAAAAAAGTCGTCTGCTCGAATCCGGATTTCTGCTGTGCGGCACCTGCCTAACGCATGTGCGTCCTGGCTCATACCCACGGCCCTTTATGGGAACTGGGAGCTCAAAAGACTCAGAGGGGATAGATAGTATCGTCTCACTTACTCTGTCTGGATGCAGTGCCTTCATGCTTCACGCCCGAACAGTGGGAAACGCATGTTTACATGTGAGCGGCGAGAGACTCTTGAAGAGGATGCCCCATCGAGCGGCGGGCATGGTCAAAAGCTCCCCTTACCAATTTCGCGAGCAGCAAAGACGGGCATTTTACTACGGAACCAACAACGTCGAGCTCATTGGAGCTCATATCACGCATCTGGCGATTACTGTTTGGAACGGGATCCGATCGGGGGATATACGTTCCAGTGACTTGGGATGATTTTCACTCGAAACTCCTCCCAAGCCCTTCCATTCCCGTTCTGAAATTTAGCCCGGAAGCGCTGAATATCATGGACTCTTGACGGCTGGGTCCACTGGGGGAGCCCGCTTCATCGCGGGACTCATCGAGCCTGAACCGAAATCGGTGCGTTTCCTCCTCGGGGCTCCTGGACGAGAGCTCCGGCCTCGGCTCTCGCTCACCCGTGGAGTGCCTCCGGCAGGGATCCTGGCGCGTTCCTCTGCTGCTCTCGTCATCTAGTTGAAGTTTGTCATTCTCATATTACTTTTCCGAGTACTCGTTTTGAATCGTCGTCGCAGGTTATCGATTCTCCGCGAAGCAACGTTTTTGGAATCCGAGCACTCTTACTCTGACGAAGCTCTAGTCGAAACTCCATCTCAACGCACGAAATTTCGCTTCTTGCTATGATCGAGAATTTCTTCACGGCGACTCGCGGCGGCTCCGGAGCACCTCAGGTCAGTTGTGTCGGAATAAAAAAGAATCGCCGCTCGAGACTCTCTCTCACAGTGTTCCGAATTTACCTCACACCACAGCCGAGGTCTCCGGAGAGCGATTCTTAGTCCTTTGAGGTCGGAGGAAACTCACCCTTATTCGAGTATCCTATAACACAGCACAAAACGGGACACTTAAGCGGAGACTTTTCCGACAGGGCTATACGGAAAGCTCACAAGCCGACCAGAAGCAAAACTGCCAATCAGCATCTGTTCGCATACATCGTTTACGGATGACGGATGCCGACTACAGATTAGCAGGACATGCGGTGGCTGCGTTCCCTCCGGGATAAGCGAGCATGTGGTCGCGTTGGAAAAAAAATCTGGCGGGGTAAGGATATGGTTGGAGCACGATGATTGCGTCTTGCGATAAATTTGATCGAATCGACTCCAGATCGACGGGCTCGAAGATTCTCACGAGAAAAAGCTTAGGCTGCCCGAAATCCGAAGCCACTTCCGACTGCGGTGCCACATAACTCATTCACCTATCTCAGGATGCTGATCGAGAACGATCAGGGAAGCATATCTCCCCCCTATATAACTTCTTCTGCGATCCGGTCGAGTATAACTTCCGGGAGGATATAATTTCGAATAGGAGTCGACTTCATGTATGGAGCATTCAATACAATTCTCTGTTCTATCGACATGATCGATATTCTTACTCGTAGGCCACGAACCTAAATATCGACACTCCTATCGCCCCTAGCCTGGACGGAAGTCGAAAGCGAATGACTTCTGCCGCAATTCGTGACTCTGAACCCAAGATGGACGGCAAGAGTCAGAAAGTTAGCGTCCAGCTGGTAGACGATCTCAAGAATTCCTAAGGCTGCCGATCATCACATAAATGAGCTGAATTCGGAGATTTCGTCGGAAGGGGAGCGAGGGGACAGGAAGAAGACCGACAGGGGAACATTTCGAAATGGATCCTGAGGATGTACTCCGCCTGGAGCTCAACACAAGAGCCAGTCCCATAATGATCTACTCACGGTTTATACGTATCATCTGAATATACATTTTAAATTACAAGGAGGAACAATGTCGATGACTCGGTGGCTGATCTCAGCGCTGCGTCGTCTCGTATTCGTCGACGAGCCAGCCCGTCAAGCTCTGATCCGCCGCTTCTCCGGCTTGCTGTTGGTACTGAATCGGTACCGCCGATGGATGGGCCGCGACGATATGGTGCGAAACTCTGGCTGCGTCTTGTTCCAGGGTCGACGCAGTCTTACCATGCTGACGTTCGTGAACCTTGCGGTTTCCAGAGGTTCTGAATCTGAAAATGTTTGAATCGAGCAATTATCATCCGCCTTCCCGGAGGAGGTGCTCAGGCGGCAGTTCCGCGAGCACCTCAGCTCTTTTCCCGATCCAGAGAGTCTTCGCTCAATGACACGCATGATTCCTGCACTCCTCCTGCTTTCGAAGGCCTGAGGTCGGGAAAAAACTCACTTCGCTGGACAGTATGAGCAGACATAAGGGCGAGCTCCCGTGTGCAGTCGCATGTGAACCACCAGAGATCCCATCGTCGCGAAATCTCGAGAGCACACCTCACACGGGAAGTTCTTCTCACCCGAATGAGTTTTGAAATGAATGTCGAGGGAAGATTTAACTGCAATTATCAACGGACGATACTCATGAGATCTAGTGAGTCTTGGTCGATTGAAATCGAAAATTTCCGGCTGCCATGTTCAGGAATCGAGATATCCAAGAGGACGAAAGTACCGGCAAAAGCTCGTTGACAAATTTGGCACACGAAAGGTCTCTCGCCAGTGTGAGTCCTGACGTGTCGTATCAGGTCCGAATTCTTTCGGAAGGATTTCGGGCATTCGGTGCACTTATGTGCGAACGATTGGTTGATTTTCGTCTTCTCTTCGCCAACGCGGTGAGTCCTGCAGAATCGACAGGTTTAGGCTCAGTAGTCAAGGTGCAATAATCAGTCCCTGGCGGGATGGTCCTTAAATCATATCCTTAGGTCTGACCTCTTCATGTCATTGGCACTAGCGATAAGAGCCTTCTCGAATAATGAGTTTGTATCCTTCGGATTCTTGAGAGCAAGTTCCTCGGAGGTTTGGATCTGGATGTGATCTGAGGTGAAGCGCGTCTTATTGGGCTTTCTTTGGCTTTTCTGGGCGTTCCGCAATGCGAGTGAGCCGTGATCTTGCTAAGGGGCGGATATGGAGATGTTATGCTCCATCTCAGAGGAAATTCATTAAGAATCAACAAATGAATTCCTAAAACGGAGATCATACCTCTAAGTGGTCGCGCAAAACAGCTTCAGTTTCTGCGAAGACTCCGCACTCGGGACAGGTCGGGAACTGAATTTCAGCCGCAGTAGAGATATCCTGATTCTTGCACTCGGTCAAATGACTGACGAGAGCGCCGGAGGTCGGGAATACTGAATGACATTCGCTGCACCTGTGGGATCGAGATTTTTTCAAAGGACTGATGAGTTTCTCGGTCCCGCTACTCAGGTCACCGGGTCATGGGACTGGAGGAGATATGCTCCGCTTGCGTACATCGGCAGGTTTCCTGTCGAATGAGAGCGCTCATCGCGTAGTAACTCACTTGAAATTTATAATACTAGACATATTTTCCCCGTCCACTTCCTGACCATCGGGGAGATGCTGGATCAGAGGCACGCCCCCTGGAATGCGGTATTAGCTCATTAGCCCTTCAGTGCGGTTGCGGAGATCTCTCACCTCGGAAGGCGAGGAATACGATCTCGGCTCCCGAAGCTTCTTTCCGGGCGAACACACCTGTGGGGTCCTGATGAGCCTCTATCACGGAGCCTTGAAGCTGCTGGCCTTCATTTTCTTGAAGCAGGAGCGTGATAGCCTCTTCTGTGGTGCCAAGATGCGAGGCCAAATCAGACACGTTGATACCCTCGGGGGGTATGATGAAGGTTTCAGAGACGCCGTGACCCAGAGCATTCGAGTTTTCAACCGAAATGACGCCAGGCTCCATCTCTGTCCCGGCGGTCGGCTGTGGTGGGGGCGGGGAGGTCAATACAGTTTTCAGACTCTAGAATTAGCTCGATCGAGATACCTCACAATGACGTCGTTTGAAAGCCTCACCTCATCTTCGACTATATGAACCTGCATCACGGCGTTCTCCTCCTCTCGAGATTTCCTCATGATTGACTCTGCAGCGGCTTGTACTTGTGCGTTTTGCTGGAAGCAGATCTCATACGTTTACTCCAAGCTCTCTTCGAGGATCCGCCGGAATCGCGAGGCCACGCGGACATTCCAGAGGACAGGAGTCTCACCTGTTCGGGACTATTCTGCGCGTCTCCCGATGCGTCAATCTGTTCCTCGACGTCTACTTGCTCGATGGTTGTCATGGCTTCTTCGAGTGAATCTCGACCTACATCTTCTCGTAGGATTTGGATAGTTGACTCGGCAGCCTGGAAGAAATGTTACAGCTTTCATCCAGCGAGGCCTGCTCCATTCCGAGTTGCCCAAACTCGGGGAGCCTTGCATCGACCCCCGACCATGGGAGGAGCGAGCGGAAGCAGAACTCACGTGATTGGTTGAGATATGCTTCTTCGCCGACAGGTTTGTGCGGAACTTCTTCTCGCAGTAGGGACACATGAAAATCTTCTCGACGGCTAGCCCTTCGGCTTGATCGTTTCTGCAAAGGGAACATTGGCTGGTTCAGCACCGCGTCACGCTCACTTTATACATGGCCAGAAACGTTTGGCCCGAACCTCCGAGCGGAGGCATATGCCACATCTCAGCTCCTAAGAATCGGACAGACATATGAAGGCCCTCCTGGGGTGAGCAAATCCCGATCGATCGACTCACCTTGTATTCACGCTCTTGCCAGCTTCATCTGTTTCGGGCATCTGATTCGAAGATTCCCTATCATGTGTTTCGAGGTGCCGCCTCAGAGAACCTGCGGCGGGAAGGATTCATCGGATTGGTGTTTCCCGCAAATAAGCGACCTCCGCCGATATTCATTCTCTCAGAGATACCAGAACATCCGAGTTACAAGAAATGGCTGCTCCGGAGGGGAGGAATACTCGTTCACCTTTTGTGGTGAAAGCTGCCGTACATAACTGGCAACGGAAAGCTTTCACGTTGCTGTGTGTCTTAATGTGAGCATTGAGGACCGATTTCGAGGCGAAATACTTTTCGCACGTGGGACACTGGAATGGTTTCTCGCCTGCAAATGGATTCAACTTTTTTTCGGATCAAATTGCATTCGATTCCGTCGGATGGATTGCTCCATAAGTGCGGTGGGCTGTCGAAGAGGCGAGGCCCATCGATCTACAAGGAGTCTCTCCCGGGAAAAGGTCTATTAGAGCTTCGGCCCGCGCATTGAAATCACCTGTGTGAGATCGGAGGTGTTGTTTGAGGTGGGAAGACTTCTTGAATTTGAAGCCACAAACGTTGCATGTGAACGGACGACGCTCTTCCCTCTCGATATTATCCGTAGTCTCCTCCATCACACCCTCAATCTGATTGATCGCTCCGGCTGATTGCGTGATAACTGTGAAACCCAATCCCGCCTGAGTTTGGTCCTATAGCCTGAGGTTTCACCATTATCACCATTCGATCCCCACTCCAAGCGGAGAAATATCCCATTTTAGATGAGCAGAAAAGAAAGATCGATCTCTTACCGGTTTCGGATATCATGATCGGATCTTGAATTGGCATTTCGGTGGCAACCATGAGATCTCCATGAGCTTCCTCAACATGGCTCGTCAAAGCTTCTTTCGTCTCGTACACCGCCTCGCACTGGCGACACCTGTGGAGAACGCGACGATTGCATGAAATCATTATCAATCGTCTCTTCGCTGTTGATTGTCCAATTATCCCGGCCACGAATCTCTTCGAAATTTCCGCACCTGTATTGGGTATACATGTCAGCCGCATCCAACCCGTGGACCATCATGTGCGTTTTACAAGCCTGAGTAGTCCGGAATGTTTTCGCGCAGAGAGGACACGAGACCGGGTTCTGAGGTTCCGAGGCATCCGAGTCTGCGTGTTGCTTGAGGTGGTCCCGGAGTGAGGATCTCAGAGTGAAGTCGCGATAACATATATGACACCTGTCATGAATAACACGATTAGTGTCAAACTGAGCTGTGCGCGTCTTCGGCTTCGCGCTAATCGCAACAAATGGAGGGATAGCCGCGCCTGCGTGGAGTATTCCTCGCGTAATGATGCTGGCAGCGGCCGGTTCTTTTGCGAACGTCGGGATCTGGGATGAAATACTCACTTGAAAGGTCGGTTGTTCGTGTGAACCCGAATGTGTCGGATGAGATCGCAGGGTCGACGGAATTCTTTGGTGCAGTACATACACTGGTGGTAAGTCAGTTTACCGATTAATCGCACCGTGTGCGTATACACTTCTCCCGTGTGCGAGTCCGCTAATGGGGCATATCGCAGTTGAACGTCGTTTTCCTGGGGGATGACAAGAATCACATTAGAGACCAAGTCGGGCGGTTTTTTTCGAGACTCCTTCTAGAGAGTGTATGTCTGTCTTCTCTTCGGAGCGAATTGATCAAATGGATTGATATCCTGGGGCGCTGATTCTTCGAGAAAGACGTTCAACGATTGTCGTCTTAGATGAGCAGCACCCGCTCGGTACACATACGATTTCGGACTGTTTCCCCTTCGGGGCTTCTTCAGGAGTTTCGGGGTGTTTCTCAGCCAGTACAGGTTCACTGTCATCGACAGCTTTTCTCTCACAGATCGCATCTTTCTTTTCGTCTTCGGCAGGAGGAATCGCACCTTGCCCCTCGGCGGGGGTCTCCGGTGGGACCTGATAAAGGAGAGAGGGATTGAGGAACGCTTGATTCTCGTCTATCATCAGCCCCGTCTGCCACTCGCAGATTGCAAGCTAGACTCATGAGAAATCGTAGGAAGACAAGTATCCGAGCGAACCTCTTCTTGATTCTGCTCCTCTGCTGATGAAGCTTCCGCAGCATCTATTATATCCTTCGACCTTATTTCTTGATGACGATATGAGATATGGCATCCCAAAGACGTCGTCGTAGCGAAAACGCATGGACACACCGGACACTGGAACAGAGAAGATTTCTCAATATAGATCATTCCCAACGAATACGCATCCTCGAGCTGTGCACAGAACGGTAGGAAGAAGAAGATGCGGGGAATTATTCTTATGATCGATGAAGGAAATCGGAGGACTCGCACCTTCAGCTTCCGATCACCACTCATCGGATGCAGTCGATTTATATGAGCTCTCAAATTGCTTTTCTGGGCGAAGGTTGCAGTGCAGAAGGGACAGGATTCCGGTTTGGAGCCCGAGTGCGTAAGCATATGAACTCGCACAGATACGTGTTGACTGAAGCGCTTTCCGCATTCGCCGCAGGAAAATCTCTTTTCGCCTGGAAGAGCCAATTGGCTAACTCGAACTCGTTTCCCGAGGAACGAGGCAGCGACAAGCTCTCTAAATATGGGCAAGAACCGAGCGACAGATATCCAATGTGAACAATTACCGGTATGGAGAGTCATATGTCTGGCGAGCAGAGATGCTTTGTTGAAGGTTTTCTTGCATGTCACGCACTCGTGCCACTTCCTTTTCGGCACCGTTTTCCCTTTTCGGGTTTTTGTCTTCCTCGAAAAGCGTAGGGCTGTTTTCAACTTCTGATGATGAGCTCGATGCGCTTGGAATTCTTCTTTGCTGCTGAAAGATTTCTTGCATGGAAAGCATCGCAGAAGCCGAACTTTGGCCAAACTGTCGACAGAGCTTTGACCGGGGCCCCTCGGAGGATGTAGGGTATTTTCATGGTAGTCGAGTTCCTCCTGGAAAGTTTCTATACGTTCCGAAATCGAATACGGAGAAATCCGCTCGTAGAAAAGCATCCTCTTGAGGGCAATTCAAGTCTCGTGTGATTCATCCACGTCATTATTGCCCGTTGTCCGCTCAAGTTTCCGATGTATACCTGAGTTTCGCATTCGGCTTCGCAGAGCTGGCAGACGAAATGTTCATCTACGAGATGAACATTCACGTGGGACTTCAGAGAGGCTAACCTCAAAAATGTCTTCTTGCACACTGGACAAGTGGACGGCGATTCCGATGTATTATGGAGAACGGCTGTGTGCAGTTGGAGGTTGACCTGGGACAGAAACAAGGGAACCTGTGAGATCGCCTCAACAATCCCGGACGAAATTTCGTACAAGCATGAAAACCTACCTCGTGGTTGAACGTCTGCTCACAGCTCTGACACTTGAAAGGTTTCTCCATGAAATGAGATTTCGCGTGGAGCGATAGCCTACATTCCGAAGCGAACTCCAGCTCACAGATTTGACATCGGAACGTTTCCACCACCTGGGAAGATTATTCGTCGACGGATATAGAGCCTGTGTCTTCGCGAAAAGTATTACTCGTAGGAATCACTTGAAGTATCCAGGCACTCACGTCCTTCGAGGAGTCTTCTTCGGCCGCTTCTTCGGTAGCTTCGGGGAGCGCTTGGGAGACGATGACCTCGTTCTGACCGAAAGCCCGTGAAGCCACCGGAGTGATCTCCCACAAACCCTCTTCACCCTACAAGGTTATTCCTCCGAGTAAGATCGAGTCTCATCCTCACAGGTGTATCCGACGCCTGGCGATTACATTCCCTCTCGGCATCATTCTATCGACTTGGTCATACCTGTTGGATATTGAGCTGAGACGTGTCGATGAGGTACGTCCCGACCCCTTCGACGTTCAAAACGTTCAGGTAGAGTCCATTCTGTTGGACCTCCAGAGGCGCGAACTCCATCGTTCCGTCAGGAACACCCGTGGAGGTCATCCTGCAAATGTAACTTGTCTCGGTCGAAATTCAGGATGTGTGAGGAAAGCACTCACGAAACACAGCGAGCTTCTCATTCAAAACGCCAGACGATCAATTTGGACGTCGGTGCTTGACGGGAGTCACAACTCCATCCCTCATAGGTGGGAATACGCGTGGACTATCGATCTCTCCATGGCTGGTCCTCCGATTCCCTCAGATTTAAGCTGCCAGTCGCTTCCGATAGCTCTATTCCACTCGAACTTCTCAGTTCGGCCATGCCACAAGCTCACAGACTCGCTCAATGTGCGCAGAAACCGTTTTCCGAGTGCGAGTGGGCTGGATTCGTGGAACACAAGCGTCTCCAAAGCCATAAAAGCATAAGTCGCAGCTGTATACGTAGCTACAAGGATCCGCCGGATCCTTGACGAGAATTATCCGCCGGTTTCCAATCTCAGAGATAGAGCTCAGGGAGCGATGCTCCGGGAATTTCATTGCGACGTCGAATAAGAAAATCCCGCATTCCGCATCCAGCTCCTGCGGAGATTCCGTCTCGAGGAGTTGGAAAATGATTTATCACTTCCAAACGAGGCCCCGGAAGCGTGTAATACTATTGTAGGTCGATCAGTCAAGTCAGAAGAGAGCATCCATTGGAAAACTATCCCCTTTCGACAATAGGTCAGTGCTTCATCTCGAATCTCGTGCCAATCCTGATTCATTCCATCCATAAATATATAATGCCAACGGACAAATCGTTGAGACTCGCATTATGCACAAATTATGGTTCGTATTCGCATCGATCGCAGGTGAGATCGAGGTTTCCCGAAGTCGTAGTGAACACTCTGCGTTCAGGTTCCCGCGGAAATGTGAAGAAGAATATTTGCTCTCAGGATATCGTTGCGCCCGGGAGGCGAGGCGAGAACTAAACATGGTTTGAGATCATTCTAGAAAGTCTCCCACTCACCTGACACGATCTGTTCCGGCAAAAGATACCGTTCTGCCGTATCTGAACAAACTACGACATTGGAGTTAAGGTTTTCCACTCATCAGAGCCAATCTTGATACTTTTTCCGTATGAAAAACACTGGATGTTTGTCAGTATATGGATGCCGATCGCCGCTCCCAGGCAGCCTCACGGCGCGGGGAGCCTCGATCTGAAACTGTTCACGAAGGCCGTTCGGCGAAAAGTCTCCGCCCTGAGAAACCGCGGTCAAATAGCGAACGAGAATCGAGAGCTAGCACTCGTATATCTCTTGCGATATCTTTTAGGTACTTATTCCGGTCAGATTCGAACGGATATCGATGGGCGCCGAGCATTCTCGATGTTTTATTCCACTGCCCCCTAATGCCGTTCTCGGAGTTCCCGGAGGTCGATGAAAATAAATTATGCCGAGACCCGTGATCATTCGCGAAGATGCATCCGATACAGCTAACAAGAATTCCAGTTAGCCACAAGGCGTCAGGATTTCTCGCCGTAGTCAAAGGGCTTCTCTAATGAAGAGAGAACGAAAACCTTCTTCAAGTGGCGGAGCCACCGGCTCGTACTTCCGACATGACATCGCAAGGGATATTGAGTGCAGCTGAGGACTTCGGAAGATGTGCCGCGCTGGAAACGATATCGGGGACCGCCGTTTTTGAGAGCAAGAGTCGCGGTCTAGATCGCGGCCTCGAAAGGAATGCCTAGGACTGGCGATGGCCCATTTGCATGGTTTCCTCGATGTGGAGTCCATGAAGCGCAGATCCTGTTCATTCGGAAGAATTGCTCAGACGAAGGGATAATGACTCATTATTATAATTATAATGAGCCTTGCGACACCGCAAAGTAAATAAATTAAATTTCCTCATTGAAATTTATTCACGATCTCTTTCGACTCCTTCCCATAGTTGGACGTTGAGTACCGTCGTTGACGCGTACCTCAGAGTTGCCGCTCGATAGATAGCCCGATTTTCGGGATAAGCTCAGGGATTGTAAACGTTGTAAGGATCCCAATCCGGCACAGGGCCGCCCATGGGTGGTTGCTGTCCGGTCATCGGGACGTTCGCGTCGAAAGCATTCGGATCGTACGGAGGCGCTCCGTAAGGATTGGCATAGCCGGGGTCTTGACCTTGGAACCCTCCCTGGGGCGCCTCATAGGGGTTGTAACCCATGTAGTTGTTCGGTGCTTGACCGGGATATTGTTGGGAGGGATCGACAAAACTCTGTTGCTCGGGACTCCATTCAGCAGGAGGCATGCCCGGCGCTTGCTGCTGGTACTCAGGTTGTACTTGTGAAGGATCTGCGAATCCCTGCCCTGGCATCGGCGGATAGCCGCCGTAACCGTTCGGTTGAGGGAACCCCTGACCAGGATAGCCCGGCGGATATTGTTGCATCATTTGTTGCTGTTGTTGTTGCTGCTGCAGCATTTGCTGCTGTTGTTGTTGCTGCAGCATTTGTTGCTGCTGCTGTTGCTGCAAGAGTTGTTGCTGATACAATTGCTGCTGCTGCGAACTGTACTGCTGCTGTTGTTGCTGCTGCTGCGCGTACTGTTGCTGCTGCGATCGCGAGTATTGCTGCTGCTGCGGCTGCTGCCGCTGTTCTTGTTGGGGCTGTTGTTTCGAGGAGGCCGGTTGCTGCGCCGTAGTGGGGTTCCTGAGCATGGGCGCTGGCGCAGTCCTTTTCGTACCTTCTAACATTGGCTTCTGAACTAATTGTGACTTCTTCAATTTCCCCAGTTTGACATTCCCGAGGAGCTTGCTCCCCCCAAGTTCCCGTCGCCCTCCGGCTCTGCTCAGAAGGGATTTCTTTGATAGGATCGAGCCTCCAAGTCCTTTCTTCTTGTCCTTTTTCGCCAATGCTGATTTTGCTCCAGATTTTCGACCTTTCTTGATCACCGATTTGCTCTTAGCACCTTGTTTCTTCTTCTTCCCCAGAACTTTGCTGGACTTCGCTGTCGAGTATAAGGATAATGTGGGTTTCCAGAAACTTTTCCGTATCTTCCGCGAATCGGTCAAAGATGATCGAGAGCTGAGAGCGGAACACTATCAAGGCAGATAAGTGGTCTCAGAGGTTTTCGGGAGAAATATCGAGGGATTCTCGTGACTCCGCCAGGAAAGTCAACGAGATGATCCCGAAATTGTAATTGCTCGCGCCAGAGTTCGGGCTCTCCCGAAAGATGCGATTCTGGATTCTGGAGGATATGCTCGTCGACCAAGTCGCAGAGCTTGTACTCACGGGCTGGGGGCATCCTGACAGAGAGCTCTTTCGGGAGAATCAAATGTCTTTCCTCAAGAAACTCTGGAGGTTTCACCGTATTCTTCCTCCCTAGGACTCCACCTTGAGAATTTTTTTCCTAATTATTCATGGTTCATTGTATATCGTTGTTTTTGGAGGATCACGTTGAGTAAACAAAGAAAATCGGAGCATTCATGCAACGCATGCTGAGGTCGCTCCTTCCACGAGCGTCATCCTCAAGAGCACCGTACCCATTTTTCTCGCTTTTGGTGACTTGACGAGGTTTTCGGACTTCCCGCGCTGTGGGAAAGTTGGAAGCCCGGCATATAGTTTCGCTATCCGATCTGTGATCGCTGGAATCTGCGGCGAGCTCAGATTGGTAAGTATGAGCCTGTATAATGTCCTGTATAAAGCCAGGATGCGTTCCAGACCAGCCCGCAAAGCTTTCATTCTCGATCGGTAGGTTTTGACCGCAGAATACACACACAACGGCACTGAGGAGAATGTGCTCCAGAGCGATGCAATCGAATAGCGCAATGGACAACGAAACAGTTGACTGTATTGCCGAATATGTCGAGAGGGTTCTCGAATGCTTTGCCGGAGAAGGCGTCTCCCGTTTTGGAAATCGGAATTCTCGAACGGAGAGAGTTTGTCATGACGATGTATCCAGATCGGACTTTTGTCAGAGAACTGTCGGCTTTGGTTTTATTGAACATAATCCTTCCGAGTATATCTAAAGTGATGTGATTGAAACTTCCATTCCAACATTGGATTATTTTTTGGCGGCAGCTGCAGCTGGGGCTCCAGCAACGGGGACGTAGCCAGGATAGTAGCCGGGATATCCGGGGTAACGGTAGGCCCAAGGCCCTCCGAAGCCCCATGGTCCCCCCCATAAATAAGGAGATGACGCAAGAGCCAATAGAGCCAAGGCACCCACGGCGTGATACGAGTATCTGCGATACAACAATAGTGAATTCCAACCTGAGCGCAGGAGCCAATCAAAGTCGAATCATGGTACCGGCAGACTTCTTCTCTCACCTCTTCTGTCGATTTCTAGTGAGGTCGCCGAATGATTCGTAACTTCCGAGCTCCTCGATAGCGGTTTTCTCGCCAGCTGGCACAGGCAGCGTATCTCTTCGAGTTCTCGTCGATTTCGTTTGTTGCCCACTGCTGGTTCGTTGAGAAAGCTGCGGATCGAAATCGAAGAACAGGGAATTAACTATTGAGTCTATTCGGGCTATGAGTCCCATCTCCATCAGAATGAATCGATTCTTCGTCCGATCGAAAACCCACCTTGTCCATCGCGATCGAAATGATTCGCAAGGATTGGTGCGAGAGCTGTTGTTCGGTCACGAGGAGCTTCAGGACGTTCGAAAGATCTTTGATAGATCGGTCGATTGGCGCTTTGTCGAAATTCTTCATCGCTGCTATGATTTTGTTGTCATCCACGTTGGGGTTTGAGAAGATTTCTTGCAGTAAATCCAACTGCTTCATATCGGGCTCTCGAGCCTCGGCTACTGGTTTGGTGTCGCCTAATGCTGAAGAGAGTCGGATGATTATTCTAAGACTGTCTGGCCGGAAAACTCTCAGAATCCGTTGGGTTTTCGGACCAGCGATATGAAGATTAAAGATTTTCGACGCATCTGACTGAGGAGCAGGTCAGAAGACCACAGCCATTATCTGTAGCACCACTTGGGGACCTTCACCGCGGTTCCCTCACCTAACAACTCGTACTCTCTTCTACACGGCGGGAGTGAATGGAAACTACGCGGAGAAAGCTTTCTGGGGCGTCCCCCACTCCCCGGCCGAGAATCCGATTAGAAATAAACTTTCTTCTTGTTGAACTTTCTCCGAGTCCCCAAGGCAGCGCTTTCGAGGTTCTCCTGAGACACGGTGGTCATCGTGAAAATATTCTCAGTCGTCTCCGGCTCATCGCTAGAATCCTTATCGGAATCTTCAGCCGAGGAGTCCATCATTGGAGCCTCATTGGTCGTCGTTTCGACCTGAGGTCTTGACGTCGATGTCGTTGGCGGCTGTGTCGAAGTATTCGACATGTTCACAACATCGAAGTTTTTGGGCACTGTGGCAGACGGCCGATTTCTCGGATCTTGGAAGTTTGTCTGAGTGACTGAGATCATCGAGAGGGGATGGTAGAACTGACTCGGGGGCATCATGCCGACGTGACCTTTGCGGATCACGTACGGAACCCGCATGTAATTGGTGCCGGTCACGGGAGAATGCCACAGCGCCTGCATGGCTTGTGAATGCTGTTGGTGGAGCATGAATGCCAATGGCGACGGCGGCCGCCTAATCATTCCGGCAGGGGTCAGGTGGTAGAGCTGGGCATCTGCGAAACGAGTGTCGTCGTTCAAGGCTCGACTCTTCCTGCTAGGTGAGTTGCGCAGCACGCCATATCTGCAAAGCGGATGGCGGTAGGGTTAATCTTAAGAGCGCGCGGCTTACCGATGGACTGGAGGACAAGTCCCGACAGCGCGAGGATCACCACTGAGAACTTCATGTCAGTCAGCTGGCACGTTGTCTGGTCCGATATCTGCCCCGTCCCCAACTCATATATATACTCAGATAAAGAGTTCGATGTTCGATTCTATCGATAACTTTGACGGTACCGACGCTCCGGCATAGCGAGAGTCGATCGGCCATCGCTACGGCCAACGCTGTCGTGCTATGTTGATTCACTTTCACAGCTAGTTCGGGGACTGCTCGCGTAATTCACAAGCCGGCGCGTCAAAGCTCGGAACCGGTGAAACTGAAAAGCTATTCAAATCAAGCTCGGGAGGATCTCACAGACCGTTATCGCGGTGATTCTTTCCGGCGATCGAATCATGAAAATCACCTTCGGAGCTTCATTCGAATTTCAAATGTTTGCATTATCGTCGAGCTTATTGTCCGGCGAATCGAGGCTTCCAAAAATCATATTAGAATCGCGCGGGCATCAGGATCGCCCGCAGGTTTCTTTTTTCAATCTTTGAGACGGTAATCCGGGGACATCTTTCACTGATTCGCCTTCCCCGCGGACAGCGTTCGGCAGGCAGGCTGGCTTCGAGTCGCAGATTCTCAAAACGACTGAACTCCACGCGGGGAGTCCGGAGAATCTTGGATACAATGACCGTGCACCAAAATAGGGTCTGCTCTCGAGATTTGCCGATGCTCAAAATCAAAGGTCCCTGTCAGAATCTCGTCTGTCTGTATCGAGTCTCGAAATCCCGCTCCCCTTCCGTGGTCCTCCTCGTCGTCCCAAAAGCCTCAGAGTCTCACCAGCCGCCCGTCTGACCCCGATTCTATTGGGTCGGGAGTGGGAATCATCGGCAGATTAACGGGGCTAGCAACGTTCGGAAAGCGTCGTCGAATTTCCCTCTTGAGCTCGACGTGGAATTCCTGGCCCTGATTTCGCCTCAGCCTCAAGGCTTACGACGCTCTATCGAACGGCTTCGTTGAGCAATAGTCATAGTGTGAATGAATTTTCCAGCTCGAAGGTCAACACGATGCGTCTCGCTTGAAAGTGCTGAGCTCATTCCTGTTTCAACAACATGGCCCTGGCGTCTCATTTCGATTTTCTCTCATCTCGGCATGGAGAAGCATGTGTCTTGAGATGGAGAATGTTTGTCGAGCCGCGCGAAATATTTTCTATTGAGCCAGCTTCACAGCATGATCACTGATCACCTTCGAAAATTCTTCCCCTAGCTCCTGAGAGCAAAGAGCAAAGTGGTCAGGACTGTCCCGACCGCCTGTAGCATAAAGGTACGATTCTTGTGAAGAAAAAGTATTTTATTGACGGACTATCACCGATATGCACAGAATTCGACAGCCCTCTCCCCCCTTCCGATCGAAATCAGTGGAAAACACCCGAGAGCTTCATCACGGAGACGGTATTTTGACGAAAACTCTTTCAAATGCATCCGGTCCGCAGAAATTTTTCCGTAGTGTTGGGATAAGGGGCGTCAAGTCGACGATCGCACCGTCCTCACTCGTATCGAGGGAGCTGCGCGGAGCGTTGATGGTCAGGGTCGAATTCGAGCGCCGATCTGCTTGATCCACTGGCAATTCGAATACATCATCGTCCGATTGGGGGAGACTTCTTGATTGACCGAGGCCATAGACATATTTAGCAACACCTCTCACACCCTCTCTGTTGTAAATCTTCCGGAGCTCGACGAGACTTTTGCGATAGTTGCCGGTACGGTTTGCTACCATCTGATTGAAGTTGAAGAGATATCCTCCGGGTGCCGGCGTCGTTGTGGCTTCTTCGAGGTCGGCGATCAAAGCCGCCACGTCGTCCGTCGTGATATCCGGACTATCTCCAGGCGCTTCGAGCTCGGCCTCCTCAGTTGCGACTGATAGCTCATTCGGGTCCTCGGTCGCGTTGGGAAGCTGCTCATCATCTGAGCGAGCGTCGAGGGCACAGAGAGCTGGCAGAATGCACAGAAATAGGCATAGGACGACGTTGGAGGAATACATGATTTGGATGAAGGCGGCGGAATACCTGGCTGGATCGTGTCGACTCGAAGATCTCTCGATTCGAATAGAAGATGATGTTCATCTGCGGACTCGCTTCACATTTTATAACCCTCGGTACCGTCCGCGAGAACCCTTCGCCTATTGCATCGATTCGAGGGTCTCGGTGAGAAGGTGCTCTGTCTCGAGCCGCATCTAGAACCCATTCTCTCTTGAAATCCATCGGCATTCCGAAGGATTCTCTGGACGACGACTTGAAGGTTCTGGGCGCGCCGCTCGGGCGGAAAGAATTCCGCGAGAGCCCCCGGATTCGATTTCTCTCCGTCGGATTAAGCATCTGTGAGCTTCGAAATTGAATTCTCATCGATATCCGAGACAAGCCGTTGACTCTCAATCGATGAGCTCGCCAGCCACATCGTCAGAATGAGTCGAGCAGCTCATCTCTGAATTATTTGATGAAGGGGGCTTTGAACTTGACCCGAATTTTGGGAACTTCTTGCTGTTCGTGGGGAGAAAATACGTGAAGTACCACGCTAAGCTCACTCACAGGAACGCAAGTTTCCCTCGCTGAAAAAGACTTTGCCTGCTCGCAGAGGCTATCTCGCGATAGGTATTTCGCACCCCCCGGTCTCCTGAATTCCCCAGGAATCGCCTCTGTTATTGGTCTGGTCGACCAGCGCCACATTCGGAAGAGTCTGGTGATCAAGCCTCAGGCAACTACATATCATGCATTTCCCTTATCAGAATCATAGCCGTCAAGTATGGACGAGTGAACCACAAGATATCAATCGGCGCTCTCATCAATTACCTACGCTGCTGAGCGTCAATCACTACAATGCGGTGGTGAATTGAAGGCCACGAGTATGAAACACGCATTTCCCGGATGCGTATCCGACGATCGGGGCTTCTGTAATTCTCGAGAGTTTCTCTCCGTCTCCTCAGGTGAGCCGAATCCTTGATCTCTCGATTTAGCTGCTTAGTGGCTGGAGTTCCGAAACGCCGCGAAGTTCCCATGGTCTCCGGGTCCGCTCGCAACTGTTGCGCTCGTCCTTTTCTTACGAGGCGGATCTGTCGACTGGAGCGCTGGACCGGGGTTGCCGATCTTGGACCCTCCCGAAAGAGTGGCAACATCGAGCATAGAAACTCAGCGGCGCTCAATATATTGCTCTCGTGATGGGGATAGAGTCGGACAGCAATGCCGTCAGTGTCCCTATATGAGGGCGGTCTCGAATATACGGGCAGTGTCTGATGAGCGGAAAAGTGTATGAGGATTTTCGAGATCCAACGGGGGAGAGGTGAGTTAGCCCTCGACGGGATCTTCACGTGATCGCTCAGTTGAGTGGGAACTGATTCACCGGAGATGCCAGCTCGAGGCAAACAAAACCTGGAAGATTGAGCTCGCATCCATTTCTCCGTTGAGACTGGAGAAATCACCGTGGAAGGTATCCACAATTTGTGCCCAGTTCTGCAGCTGTAGATGTGCAAGAGAAGGAAGGTCGCGATGAAACGCCGAGCTGTGAATCCGCGAATAGTCGAGGCAATGAGGGCGACGTCATCGGCAGCCGCGGAAGGCAACAGGGGGAGTGACCGAACAAGGATAGCCAAAGATTCTGCAATCGTCTGGAGAACCCTTCGATGCACAGCACTATTGCACCAACCGGGCCGATACAATCATACCGGAAGAAGACGGAAGTAAGAGAGCAGTCTCGGGGGAACGGAACGATTTTTCCGGGTGATTCAGGTCCAGATAATACCAACAGAATCTTGATCTTCGGTCGAGGAAGCACCGCATCTTGGATCGGAAAGGTTTCGAGAATATTCCGACTTCGACGGTATGCCTGTGGGTGGAGATAAGGGATCCAGCGAACGCCGGGCGCC